GTGTGTGTGTGAGTGTGTGTGAGTGTGTGTGTGTGTGTGCGAGTATGCGTGTGTGAGTGTGTGTGTGTGTGTGAGTGTGTGCGTGCGTGTGTGTGTGTGTGTGCATGTGTGTGTGTGTGTGTGTGAGTGAGTGTGTGCGTGTGTGTGTGAGTGTGTGTGTGAGAGAGTGAGTGTGTGTGAGTGTGCGTGTATGAGTGTGCGTGTGTGAGTGTGTGTGTGAGTGTGTGTGAGTGTGTGTGTCTCTGTGTGTGTGAGTGTTGTGTGTGTGGGTGTGAGTGTGAGTGTGTGAGTGTGAGTGTGTGCGTGTGAGTGTGAGTGTGTGTGTGAGTGTGTGCGTGAGTGTGTGAGTGTGTGTGTGAGTGTGTGCGTGAGTGTGAGTGTGTGTGTGTGTGTGAGTGTGTGTGTCTCTGTGTGTGTGTCTCTGTGTGTGTGTGAGTGTGTGCACGTGCATGTGTTGGGGGTGAGGAAAGGCTATGCTGCCCGTTATGCCTTCCGTGACCTCTCTGGGCCTCAGCTTCTCCAGGATGAGGAGGATGAGACTCACGCCGAGCCAGGCGCGTGCCTACGATCCCCGCAGCTGGGGAGGCTGAGGCAGGAGGATCCCAGTTCCAGGCCTCGGCAACTTAGCAAGACCCCGTCGCAAATAAACCTGAATTTAAGAGGCTGGGGATGTGGCTAAGTGCCCCTGGGCTCAACCCCTGGTACTAAATGACAATAATGGTGACAAATAACGTAACACCCCTCCACAGACTTGGGGCTCAGGCGGAATGGAGCCCTGCAGGAGGGTCCCATAGAGACTGGACAGGGCAAGGGTTGAGGAAGCCACCATCTCCCCAGGCAGAGGACACTGCCCGGGACTGGCCGGGTCTGCAGGGCTGTGACTGGGAGGCCGAGTCCCCCCCCAGCCCAGAAGGAAGGTCCCCGGCGAGGGCCCACAGAGGCCCAACGGCTGGCCGAGTTCCAGGGGACGGCCACCCTGCACCTCTGCGGTGACCTGGGCTGGACGGGCCCAGCGAGGTCCGTGGCTCCGTCTGACAAACCCCAGGACAGACTCCCCAGTCGGAGCCTCCCCGAGGCCCATGCAGCCTCCAGGGAACCGTGGGAGTGTGCGCCCCTGGGCACTTGCTCAGGGGCTCGTGGGTGTGAGGTCACGCGAGTGTGAATGGGGTCCGGCTTGTGTGGATCCAGGGTCTGAGGCTGGTGGCGGACGAGAGCATACACCCTTGTGACGTGGCACTGTGTGGCCCTGGGGGGGGACCAGGTGGCCCTGTGTGGGCATGTGACCACGCATGGAGGTTCCCGTGACCCGCCGCGGGGTGTGAGCAGCGAGCACACAGGGTCACCCTCGCCCTGCTGGGTGCCTTGGGGCAGTGGCTGGGGACCCGCAGAGGCGGAGCCCGGTCAGCAGCCCCCACACCCACGGGACCCCCTCGGCCTCCACAGTGCAGCCTCAACGGGACCGCGTGCGCCTTCTGGAACTTCACCAGCGCCACCCAGGCCGTGACCGAGTGGTACGTGCTGCAGGCCACCAACATCTTCTCACAGGTGCCGCGCCAGGACCTGGTGGCCATGGGCTACTCGGCCCCGCGGATGATCCTGGCCTGCCTGTTCGGGACGGAGCCCTGCAGCCACCGGTGAGCCGCCCCAGCCACCCGCCGTCCCCGGCTCTGGGGGTGCTTTGGTTGGGGCTGCAGGGGGTTAGGAGGTGCCTGGGCCAAGGTGCCGGGGTCAGCCTCACCATCACGGCTGAGCCTCACCCATGGCAGAGGCTGGAGGCAGGGAGGCCGGCCTCCGGGGAACTTGCAGGGGGCCCCCCACACGTGGAAGAAACCAGGGGCCACAGGCCGCCTTGCAGGCTACCGCTTGGCTAGCAGGCTGCAGGCCGGATTCCAACAAGTCACGACTATTGCTCAACCTGTGTGTGACAAGGACTTCAGATTATTGGCATCTCTGGGCCCCTCTTTTGCTCTACTGTAAGCGCTTCACAGTATAAAACTGCTTTAACCCCATGTCTAGAAGCCCCCGAGAAACGCCCTGTCATTCCCCCGTCCTCCACTTTATAGAGGATGAAAAGCTGAGGCCCAGAGAGATTAAGTAACCTCTCTGAGGTCACACAGCTGGGCAGTGGCAGAGCGGGCAGCCCAGGGCCAGGCCCACCCCACGTCACTCTGCTACTCGTTGGAAAGGAAGACCCATTCTCTTCCTCCCGGTCAGCCCTCTGTGTGAAGGCTGGCCCAGAAATTTCCCCCAACCTGTCTCTGGGCTGTCTCTCCCTCCCAGAGCTGACCAGACCTGGGCCTTCCCCACCGGGCCCTAGAAGGTGGCCCGGGAGCATGTCCTTCTGCCTTTGCCAATGCTGGGCTCCAACGGCGTGACCCTCCGCCCCCACTCTGACCCCGACCTCTCTCTCTGGGGCATGGTACCGTGGTCTTGGGGTACTCAAGCCACAGCTGGACCCTGACCAGCCGTCCTGGTGGGGAAACCTGTTCTGGGCAGTTTGCTTCTCTGTGCGTCGCCCAGGATGAGCCCCTCCCTCCGCTCTGGGGTCACACAAGCTTCCACAGGAGAGGGACCACGTTCCCCTCCCTGGGCACTCCGGAAGGGCGTCCCTAAGGCCAGCCGACACTATGGGGACGAGGACAGGTGGACAGGGACAGAGAGAATCGAGCTCCACCTCTCCTGGAGAGAGGCATAGATAGGATCTGGAATTTTTCCTCTAAGAAAAATTCATGTTTGCCAGGCCCCACGGTGGATGCCTGTGGTCCCAGCTACTCGGGAGGCTGAGGCAGGAGGATCGCAAGTTCAAGGCCAGCCTTGGCAACTCAGTGAGGCCCAGTCTCAAAATTTAAAAAAAATAGAAATAAAAAGGACTAGGGGCGTAGCTCAGTGGTAAAGCACCCCTGGGTTCAATCTCCTGCATAAAAAGAGAGATTTATTTTTTTTCTTCTCTATTTATTCATTCAAACATTTAATTATACCAAAATGAACGCCTTCATATTTAGGCTCTGGTTCAACACCTCAGTCTTTATTTTTGCTTAAATTCTTTCAACTTTGGCCACCGACAGCTCCTCCAGTTACCTCCTGCATCCTTTGATATATCCCAATCTTAAAAAAAAAAAAAAGATTTATTTTCGGCACTTCCTTACCTTCTGACATCACAAGGTGCCTGAGCCATTTCTCCATGGATCCCCGTGTCCTTTTATTTGAGAATCGTATTTAGAAAATAGGACCTGGGCATGGATACACCTTTTAAAATTTTTTTTTTATTGCTTCAGGGATCAGCTGACTTCCAACCACACAGTACCCCAGTTGTTATACTGCTTCCGGCTGAGATGGCCCATTTCCTAGTTTGGGGATTTGGGGGGCAGGGTCTGGCTGTGTTTCCCAGGTTACCCTGGAGCTCCTGGGCTCCGGCCATCCTCCTGCCTCAGCCTCCCCAGGAGCTGGGACTTCAGGCCACCCCTGCACACCGTCTCTCCCTGCCTCTTCTGGAGACCTGCTGGTGTCCCTGTGCCCGCTAGGTTCCTGTCCCAGGAGAGGGTTTTGGAGGGAAACCTGGCTCTGGAACCGGAGGGGACCGGTGCTGGGAGCAGCCTCTCAGGACCAAGAGCATAATCAACAAGCAAACAGTTGGCACCGAGGAGGAGGAAACCCACTACGAGGCCGAGGCTGGGCCGGGGCAGGAGGGACCTGGCCGCACCCCGGTTCCTCCAGGCTGCATCTGCCCACGCAGCTCCTGGGAACGCTGTGTCCCGTGGCCCGGGCGGGGTCAGCCGCCTGGCGCTGGCCGGTTTGTCCTGCCGTCCCCTCCCCTGTGGCCACAGCCCGGATCCCACCCGGTGTCCAGGGGCCGCCCACAGCTTCTCCTTCCCCCCAGGCTTTGCCCAAGCGGTGCCCCTGCCTGACAGCCCTGTCCCCTCCCTGTCCCTAGGCCTTGCCACCTTCACCGGCTGCGTCTGTCAGTCCCCTGTCCCCACGGGGAACTGGGTGTCCCTCCTCCTGGCGCTTATCTCTGCGATGCCCTTATCACACATCACAGTTTATTCAGCAAATATTTACTAAGGGTCTGTGTCCTGTGTCAGGCCCTGGCGGGCGGGCACAGCCATGTCAGCTGTAACAGCCACGACTACTTTAGTGTCACACACGTTGTTAGGCGTCTAACACCTCCGTCCCGCAGGGTGGCTGCTGCCACTATCCTGGGGACATAGTAGTAGACAGGGAAAGGGAGACACAGAGCACTGAAGTCCCCAGCTCACCGGCTGCTAACGGACAGAGGTCCAGGTCACCTGCTCTTGACCTTGAGCTGCCCAAACTCAGATACAAGGTCACACGGCCAAACTGGGCTCACAGCCCAAGCGGGAGGGAGGCAGATGACAAGTGAGCAAGGTGATGTCACACTGGGTGCCTTCGATGGGGAGATCTAGAGGCGGGCACGAGGGAGGCCGGGCAGGTGGGTTACGATTTGTCAGAGCCCAGGTGCTAGGAACTGATCGTCCACCTCTGTCACTTGACATCAGGGAGGGGCCATGGGAGTTCTCAGAGCAGGTGCCAAGGGGCCGGGGTTGGAAACATCTGGTGGAGGAGGGTAGAAACCCAAGGCTGCAGTTTGCATCTTCTTCTGAGAGCAGAAAGGGAAGGCTGAGCAGGGGCGTGGCCTGTCTGATTGACAGCTGTCCACCACGGGCCCTGACTGCTGGCAGGCAGCAAGGGGGGCGGAGGGGACACCACACAGAGGCTTTGGCAGGGGTCTGGGTGGCAGGCGCTTCTCAGGCCAGCCCTATCCAGTTCTCCCCACTGCCTTTGCCCCGGGACCCACCTCAGTCAATGTTTGTTGAGTGAAAAAATGTGGTTTCTTCCTCATTCCCCTTTCAACAAGGAGGAAGGCAAAGCTCAGAGGCAGAGACAGCAGCTCAGCTCTGTCAGACAGAGCCAGCCCAGGACAGTCCCCAGATCTGATTTCTCGGCGGCCTGGGCTGCACCCACCTCATTCTGCTGACCCAGAGGCTGAGATGAAAGATACAGGAAATGGCTTCCTTATCGGGGGAAAAATCAGTGAAAACAGCCCTTGACTTTATGAGGTTATTCTGAGGATGAAGTGAGATTGTGTGTGTGCAGAAACATTCAGCCTGGGCCTGGCCCGTGGGAAGTTGCTCAATAAGTGTTGCAGAATAGAAGGCTTCATAGACAGTTCTGCACAGCGGTTAATTTTTAACATGATTTCCTGTGCTTATCCCTCAATCCCCCCCCCCTTTTTTTTTTTTTTTTTTGAGACAGGATCTCAGTAAATTGCTGAGGCTGGCCTCAACTTGCCATCCTCATGCCTCAGCCTCCCTAGTTGCTGGGATCACAGATGTGCCAAGCTGCACCCCAGCTTGTATTTGTTTTGACTAAATATAAAAGAACAATATAAAAACCTTGATACGTATTTTTAAAGCATTTATGGTGGGCTTCCCTGCATCAGGAGATTCTCCTCTAGGGCCAACCTGAATCACCGCAGATAACGACCTCTCAAGATCTTTGGTTATATCTGCAAAGACCCTTTCTCCAAACAAGGTCTCATCCAGAGGCTCCGGGGGGTTAGGATGTGGACAGGTCTTTTTGGAGGTGTCTATGAGACCAGATGCAAATGCCTAAGAAAGTGCTTTTTCATGGCTGAACCAGAGAGCCTGTGCCCCAACTCCTGAGACTCACGTCCTCCCCCTTTCCCAAGGGATCCTGGGAGTCACCTCTCTCTGGTTTCTGCAGGGGGATGGACAGAATGGCCTGCTGCTCCTCTCTCCCTTTCTGAGCCTCTCTGAGCAACGCAGGGAGGGCGGGAGGTGGTGGGATCCCCTCTGCCGGCTGGGTGCCTCCCCCAGCCCGTGGCTCTTCTCTCAGGAACTTCACGGCCATCTTCCACCCCTACTACGGCAACTGCTACATCTTCAACTGGGGCATGACGGAGAAGGCACTCCCCTCTGCCAACCCCGGGAGTGAATTTGGTGAGTCCTGCTTCTGGATCCAGAGGCCAGATCCAGGAGGCTCTAAGCCCTCTGCCCACCCCCGCCCCCTCAGGGTTAGACCTGGGCTAGCGCAGAGAGGCGTGGCCATAATGGAGCGCCTGCTGTTTGCCTGGGGGCTGGGGAGGCGGAGCCAGGCGCCTTCTCAGCCCTCCCCCCCCACGCTCGCGCCCCTGGGGAAAGGGGCCGTGTCCCATTTTGCAGCCCCGCAAAGTGAGGCTGGGGACGAGGTGCAGCTTCAAGGTCAAGCTCCAGGCCAGGTAGAACCCCAGCTCCACCCCTCACTCCCCGGGTGACCCCGAGCTCAGGATCTCTTCACTGGGAGAAGAGGCTCTTGGTAGCACCGCACAGAGAGGTCACCTTGTGAGTCACTCTGTCACCCTGCGGTGAACTGCTTGGCCAGGCCCCGGGAAGCAGAAAACGCTGCACGTGCGCAGGGGACTGACTCTGAGAAGCCTTTGGACAGCTGCCCCGAGACCACCCATTAGTCCAGGGCACGCACGTGGCCTCTCGTACCCACTGCCTAGAGAACCCCAGAGACAGGGCGCGGAGGACTAAAGGAAGCAAGGAAGGACAGAATGGCTGACCCTAGGCGCTTTCCCCTGGGGCCAGCGCGGTGGCCTGTCTGCCAGGGCCAGGCTGGCAGGCTGTGGCTCTCAGGCTTGTGAGCTGGACACAGGTGGGAGCCAGTCCTCCTCCCACCGCTCAGACTGTGACCTCCCCTCCCCCCCACCAAGAAGCAGGTCATCATTCAGTGACCATCAGGGCTATTAGCCAAGAGGGGGTCAGTGACCCCCGTTCCTTAAAGCACTGTCCTCCAGGGAGCCCTTGCTTCCTGGGGCAGAGCATCACAACCAGGAGCCAGCAGCCTGGGGAGGACCCAGCGGCCCCGCCTCCTTCGTGAGTGGTCTGGGCCGGTCCCTTCACCTCTCTGTGCCTCGTTTGCTCTTCTAAGTGGGAATGATGGTGGTGCCCATCTCGTGGGCCGCCCAGGAGCATCCAACAGCATCGGGTCCCTATAGCACTTCCCACTGCTCTGAGCATGGGGCCAGGGCTCAGGCCACCCCTGGGACTCGCGCCAGTGCCCACCTAGCCCAGGACTAAGGGGCACAGAAGGTCGGGTCTGATCCCCCAAGAAGGGCCCCGTGGGGAAGGAAGACAGAATCACACAAGGGAGGCAGGTGCCGGGAAGGAGAGTTTCAGAGCTAGGGAAGCCCCTGACACCCGGTGTGGACAGTCACTTCTGCAGGAAGAGACACGGGGCTTTGATCTGAAGCAAGAGCAGGAGGTTCAGGTGAAGGGTGAGGCCGGCAGCCTCCAGAGCAGGAAGGAGCTGGGAGCTCAGAGGCCCTGAGTGGGGAGAAGGAGGGCCTGAGTGAGAGGGCACAGGGTGGGGTGGCTGGGTGGCTGGGTGGGTGGTGCTGTGTCTCCAAGATCTACCTGTCGTGCGGAAAAGATCATGGGCGCGGAGGCCAGGAACAGCCCTAGGAGGGGACAGGGGCGATCTGGGGTCTGGAGTTTGCCGGCTCCTCCGCAGGCCCTGGGGCACCCCTTGCTGCAGGGGGCTTGGACCAGGGGCTGGTGGGCTTCCCCTCACCCCACCTTCCCCACAGGTCTGAAGCTGGTGCTGGACATAGGCCAGGAGGACTATGTCCCCTTCCTCGCGTCCACGGCCGGGGCCCGGCTGCTGCTTCACGAGCAGAGGACGTACCCCTTTATCCGAGAGGAGGGCATCTACGCCATGACGGGGACAGAGACCTCCATCGGCGTGCTGGTGGTACAGCTGGGGCGCCAGCGCAGCCCGAGGGCGGCTGAGGGTGGGAGCCCACCTGTCAGGGCCAACCTGGCCGAGAGGAGGGGACCCGGGGCCACAGCCCTGGCCCTGCCCCCCAGGCCCCCCGGACCCTGGGGAAACCCTGCAGCGAGCCCCGCTCGGGCGGAGGCTGAGCCCTCTGGCGCCCCCTCTGGCGCCTGCGGGTACTACAGCTCCCCTGCCCCATTGAGCATCCCCCGAGTTTGATGGGGGGGACTACAGAGGGGGCCTTCCAGGGGTGATCAGGGGTCCTCTTGAGCAACCTTTCTTTTGCCTCAGGACAAGCTGCAGCGCATGGGCGAGCCCTACAGCCCGTGCACTGTGAACGGCTCCGACGTCGCCGTCCAAAACCTCTACAGCGACTACAATACGACCTACTCCATCCAGGTGGGCAGGTTGCGCAGGACCCTGGACCCTGGGGCCCCTGTCCACGTCTCCCGGCCGCAGGCCGCAGGTCTCTGAGAGCGGTCCGGCAAGGCTGGCCAGGCTGGATTTTTGTAGGTAGCCACAGGCACAGTTCCTGGGTTCTCACCAGGGCCCAGGGCGGGCTATCTGCAAGTCCCCAGTTGGGCAGATGTGCCCTTGGGAACCCAAGATTAGAAAGGATCTTGCTCTGGGGTCTCCCAAGAAGGGAAAAAAAAAAAATCACGAACATTACCGAGCTCTCAACTGTGTGCTTTGCATGCATCATATCATCCTCTGATCCCTTCAAACCTCCCAGGCAAAAGTAGAGTACTAATAGCCTTTAATAATATGTTAATGAGTTGGCTTATCACGTGTGAGGCAGGCGCTGTTGCAAGTATTTTACATGCTTTACCTCATTTAATCCTCACAACCACCCTAGGATGTAGAAACTATTATTCCCGTTTCAAGATGGGGGAATGGGGACATTTGGATTTACAGACCCCAATCTGAACACCTCATCGGTTTACCTGGGATGTCCCTCTTTATATCTGCCCTCGGCCTCCCTTGCTGCAGCTGGAGGTTTCCTTCTTGACCTGGTCTCCACTTCCATCCCTGTCTGTGATGACAGAAAAGAAATGGAGTCCAACAAGGGGCAGCCCCGTGCCTGCCTCCAAGTCTGGGAAACCCACATTTAGTGTTTTCCCTTTGGAAATTGACCACCACCCCCCACCCGCCACTGCCCACTTGCCCAGCTGACTCACTGCACACTCAAGCTGGCTGGCTGGGTCTCCTTTGGTCTGCTGTGGACAGCTCTGGGAATCTTCCGAGTCTCCAAAGGGCTGGACAGACAGGCTGGACAGACCGGCAGGCAGCAAGGGGAAGTGGGAAAATGGAGGAGGAGGCCCCAGCTCCAGAGGCCTCGTTCCTGGGAAACAGCTCCTCCAAGACTCACCCGAGTCAGGGTGCCCAGCTGGACCCCATGGCCTCCTCTGGGCCAGGCTCCAGGTCCTCCTGGCCAGGCCATTGACTCTGCTGTCAGTCCCACCCGCTGCCTGCAGGGACCCCACAAGCCCCTCAGGGAGAGCGGAAGGCCACACAGTGACCTGGGGGAGCAGGACAGGAGGACACAGAGGAGCAGGGTTGGAGCCAGGAGTCCACGGGAGCCGGGAGTCAGGACAGTGGACAGCCGCTGACTAGGGGCCTGATGCCACGCGGAATCCTCTGGCCCCGGGAGGCAGGGGTGACTGTCACCCTGTTTCCCCGTGAGTGAACTGAGGCTGAGGTTAATCACTTGCTCTAGGTCACATGGTTGGTCCCTGAGTGGGCTGAAGCCGGGTCACAAGGACCTGACGTGCTGGGGCCCAGAGAGTGGAGACTCCCCACATCCAGCCCCAGGGCAGGGTGCGCCCTCTCCTCGCTCCCCACCAGGGGACACTCTGCAGAGCAGCTGCCCGTTCTCCTCCTGTCCTGGGCGGTCAGAGGTCCTTCTCCGGCTCTCCCTGGCTCCCCCCCAGGAGGACGGTGCTCAGGCCTGGCTTCCCCAAGCTGCCCTCTGGGTCCCTGGATGCAGAGAGCTTGGCAGGGCGCTGGCACCTGGGGAGGAGAGGTGGTGTCCTAGGTGTGAGCTTTGTGGTTTGGGACAAGCCACTTCTGCTGTGTCATTTATGGGGTGCCATCTATGGAGAGTCCTGGACTCCGGGAGCCTCGTCTGGGTCTCTCTGTGGGGTTCAGTGATCTGCTATGAGGCCCAAGGAGGAAGGACGGCCACACCCCAATGACAGGGTCCGTCACCACAACGTGGTCGTCTCAAGCCTGCATCTTAGGCCAAAGGGCATCTCTCCGGGGCCCCAGCTCCCTTGACCTGGGTGTTAAGTTCTTGGGGTCCTTCTCCTGCCACCAGAGAGGGGACATCACTAGCCGGGTCTGTGTTCCCTCCCCAACCTCCAGGCCTGTCTCCACTCGTGCTTCCAAGACCACATGATCCATAACTGCAGCTGCGGCCACTACCTGTACCCGCTGCCCCAGGGCGAGAGCTACTGCAACAACCAGGATTTCCCAGACTGGGGTGAGTGCAGGTTCACGACCGCTGGGGCCAGTGCCCACAGAGCAGAGAGGAGAGCTGGGTGCCCCGAGCAGGGCCCTGGGGTGTGCCAGGGCGGCCCCGCCTCTGTCCACAGTCTGCTACCACCCATCCCAGGCCTGTCTGCAGGAACTCAGCCCTGTCTCCCCGACTCCATGAAGTGCCTGCTTGAAACAGTCCGTCGGTCCTCCAGGGCATGTGTCTGTGTGCCACACAAATGCCAGCACAGGCATGAGCCTGGGAATGGGCCCGGGAGACAGCGCGGTGTGTGTGTGTGGTTGTGTTTTCCAATGCACGTGTGCAAGGGCGTGTCTGTGTTTGCACCTGAGTGTGCAGGAGCACTTGGAGATGGCAGGACCTGTCTGTGCGTGCTGTGCTCGGGCACAGGTGGCTTCCAGTGTCTGCGTCGTGCATCCTGGCTTGGGTGCACACGTGTGCACAAGGCCGTGTGCGTGCGCGGCGGGTGTGTCCATGTCTGAGTGGCATCGCTGGTCTCTCAGTGGCATGCTGGGCTCGGGGTGATGTCCTCCGAGGGCTGCCCCCTGGAATCACAGGACAAGGAGCCCCTGCTGGGCTCCCACGGAGCTGGAGCCCAGGCCTGAAAGCCCTGGTGGCCTGGAACCCAACAACCTGGGTGTGGTCAGCAGTAGGGGTCCCGCCACCTCTTACAACAAACATAAGTGCAGTGGCCCACACCTGTAATCCTCAGCCTCTCAAGAAGCTGAGGCAGGAGGATCACGAGTTCAAATCCAGCCTCAGCAAAAGCGAGGTGCCGAGCAGCTCAGCGAGACCCTGTCTCTAAATAAAGTACAAAACAGGGCTGGGGAGAAAACCCCATCCAGGGGCAGAGACGGAGAGGGCTCCCCAGGGGGTCCCGAGCTGGGTCTGGGGCACCCGAGGGAAGCATCCCAGGGTTAGGCTGCGGCAAAATGGCTGGAGGTGGCTGGAGTCGGGGTGGCAATGATTCCCCATGACCAGGGAGCGTGGGTTGAGACACCACATCCCCATCTAACCCCAGGCCTCGGGTGGCCCCGGGCCAGGAGGGCAGAAGAGGGTGAAGGGTGGAGCCCTAGACCACCGTCCACCCCTGTTGTCCATTCCTCTCTCCCGCCCAGCCCACTGCTACCTAGACCTGCGGATGAGCGTGGCCCTGAGAGAGACGTGCATCAGCATGTGCAAGGAGTCCTGCAAGTGAGTGTGGCCAGGGGACGTGGGCACTGCCGTGGGCCAGCAGGGAGGGGGGCCGACGTTGGCAGGACAGCAACAGGGCTGGCTTCTGTCTTCCAGTGACACCCAGTACAAGATGACCATCTCCATGGCTGACTGGCCCTCTGAGGCCTCCGAGGTGAGACGGTGGGAGTGGCCACTCTCCTGGTCCCCATCTTTGGGCTGACGACAGGTCCCCGTCTTTGGGGGGTGGTATTTTCCTCCTTCCCTCCCTCCCTTCTGCTCTCCCACCGACATTCCCCAGGCACCGGGCCAGGGACACTGCAGAGGATGAGATGGGCCCGAGGGTCCTGCCCTCGTGGAGCTTACAGTCTAGTCACGTACACAGAAGTAAGATCACGTTCAAGGTCAACGGTGGCTGTGAGGGAGTAAGCAGGAGAGCACACAGAGGGGTCAGGGTCGCCCCTCTACAAAGGCAACATCTGAGCTGAAACCCAGAGGCTGAGCCAGCGGTGGGCTGAGCCAGAGGAGCCCAGGCAGAGGGGAGGGCAAGTTCAAGAGGTGGGAATGGACCTGGAACAAGGTCCGTTCCGGCCAGGCCTGCCCAGAAGAGGCTGGAGACCCGAGCTCCCCTCCTGCCAACAGCAGCCGCAGCTTCCCCCGCGGCCTCCTCCTACGGCCCCTTCCTGCAGTCCCTGGGGGCTTCAGGAAGGTGCAGGGCTGTGTTCCTCTTCCCCGCTGGTAGCATGGACCGCGATGGACCATGGACCGCGATGGGGGGAATGTGAGGTGTGAGCACCTTGTTCTTAGTCGCCTTCCTGGGTTCTAGGACTGGATTCTCCACGTCCTGTCTCAGGAGCGGGACCAGAGCCCCAACATCACTGTGAGCAGGTCAGCCTGAAGCCTGGGGGGCTGGGAGGCAGGGAAGGGGAGGAGCCAGGGCCTGGGGGAGGGGTCAGATCCAGGAGCAGGGCTAGGGAAGGGAGCCCCGAAGGCAAGAGGGAGGAAGCAGCCAGGAGGATGGGGTCTTCACCAGCCCCTCCCCCACCCCTCACCCCCATCCCTCACCCCCATCCCTCCCCGCCTCCCTCCACCTGCGCAGCACAAACGTGTGTTGAGCACAGGGAAGACACAGTCCCTAGCACCAGGATGCTCAAGCCCAGAGACAGATGCGAAAAGGGCTCACAGCAGTGAGGGTCTGTGGAGCCCCCTCCCCTTGAGGGACAGGAGGCAGGGAGCCCCAGTGTGCCTGGGAGATCAGGGGGGTCCGTGTAGGAAGCGGGTGAGAAACGGGGACTGTTCAAATCAGAAGCAAAGAACACACATGAATGGGGGGGACCCCCTCTCAGCCACCCTTCCCTGCCCCAGGGTCCCTGATCCCCGCAGAACTCCTCAGCACTCCACGCAGGTCACCGGACGTGGGCGGGTCACCGGATGTGGCCTGGCCTCCCTAGACCTGGGGAAAGGGGAGCTCAGAGCTGACCTTGGGGCTGTCCCAGGCCAGAGTGTCCAGGAGGATGGCAGGACAGGGGTCCACAGGGTGGGTGCTGTGGCCCCGCGGTGCAGGGAGGCTGGTCACCCTCCTGGCAGCGTGAGCAAGTCAGAGCAGGGGAGGGCCGGGGGCCGATGGCTTCCCTCCCCGGGGTGTGCGGGGAGCCGGGTCCCAGCCCTCCCGCTGCCTCGCAGGAGCGGCATCGTGAAGCTCAACATCTACTTCCAAGAATTCAACTACCGCACCATCGAGGAGTCCGCGGCCAACAACGTGAGTTGTGGGGCTCCCGACGCCCCAAAGGGTGGCCATCAGGAAGGTCCCTCCACCCGGGCGGAGGTGGTCACCCTGTCCCCTTCCCTTCCCAGTCACCTGCCCACCCCACAGGAAGCCCTGGGCCGGGCGGGGGGCCAGAGCGCGTGCCCACTCTCCGCCCGGCCAGGCCCTCAGCGCCCATTCCCCACAGATCGTCTGGCTGCTCTCCAACCTGGGCGGCCAGTTTGGTTTCTGGATGGGGGGCTCCGTGCTGTGCCTCATCGAGTTTGGGGAGATCATCATCGACTTCCTGTGGATCACCATCATCAGGCTGGTGGCCTTCCTCAGGAGCCTGCGGCAGAGGCGGGCCCGGGCTCCCCGCGACAGCCCCCCGCCCACCGTGGCCGAGCTGGTGGAGGCCCACACCAACTTCGGCTTCCAGCCCGACCCCGCCAGCCAGGCCGAGGGCTACCCCCACGGGCAGCCGCTGCCCATCCCGGGCACCCCGCCCCCGAACTACGACTCCCTGCGCCTGCAGCCGCTGGACACCGTTGAGTCTGACAGTGAGGGTGACGCCATCTAGACCCTGCCCCTGCCCACCCCGGGCAGCTCACGAACTTGAAGCTGAGAAGCTGAGACCCTGGCTCAGTGCCTTGCTGTATGGTGCCCTCTCCAGAGAGCCAGGACCACCGGTGTCCAGAGCCCGTGCCCCCTCCGTAGAGAGGCCAGTAGCCACTGCCAGGCCCAGGCTGCAGGGTCCGCAGGGACACGGTGCAGGACGCCAGAACTGGGCTCTCTCCTGGCTCCTGCCCTTCCTGTCCTGGGCCGACCTGACCTGCCCTCTGGCTCTACAGACCCCTCTCCTGGTGTCAGGCCACTGTCAGTCACTGCCCCAGAGATGCCAGGCGGGTCTACCATGTTCCCCAGAATCGGTGGCCTTTCCCTTCCTGGCCTTGACTGACCTCTGTGAACAGGCTTTTAGCAAAGGCAGCAGTGGAGGGGGGGGGGCAGGGATAGCACCAGGAGTGGGGGCCTACAGGTGGCACATGCGTCGTTCTACAAAATAAAAGTGGAAGACATGGCGTCCAGCTTTGTTCCTTGTCTTGGTGGGCAGCGGAGGTCCTCAGCGTGCCTGGGACAGGAAGGGCGTCTATCCTGGCTTGAGAGCCAAGGTCTTAAGCAGATCAAGAGCGTCTCTCTCTTGTGATTCCTATAGTTCCTTTCCAGCTGTTCCTGAAGCAGAGGCCTAGAGGCTTCTTCTTTTTTCGGGGGGAGAGGGGGTAGCAGGGATTGAACTTGGGGCACTTGACCACTGAGCCCCACCCCCAGCCCTACTGTGTATTTTATTTAGAGACAGGGTCTCCCTGAGTGGCTGAGTGCCTTGCAGTTGCTGAAGCTGTCTTTGAACTCGCGATCCTCCTGCCTCAGACTCCCGAGCAGCTAGGATCACAGTGTGCCACAGCTAATGGCTACAATGCCACCCAACTATTTCTTTGGGTTACAAGGACAGAGACAGCAACTCAAACCAGCTTAACCCATCAAGTCTCAAGTTTTCAGTTCTGTGAATGTTTCAATGAAATTGACACAGGTGCATTAAAAGAGGTTAGAAGTCCCAGTCTAGAGCTCATGTCTATTAAATATTAACATAATTATGTTACTAATAATTGTATATTGCATACTATGTTTAGGTTTTTGTAGTATCTCACATCAAGAACAGTGGGACGAAACAGGTTAAAGCAAGACACTCTCAAGCAGCTCAAACCGTTGGGTCTCCCTCTGCTCCCCCAAGGCCACCTCTCCTTGCATTTTCAGCCCCGAGGCTGACGCTCATTGGCCCCCGACTGGGTCACGTGCCTGTTTCTGAACCAATGAGTGGTCCAGCTGGGTAGGCTGACCGACTGGTTGGCCCCCAGCGGAATCACCTGGTCCCAGGTAATGGGAAATGGCTCCTCAGGTTGCCAGAGAAAATTTAAGCTGCTCAGTTAAATTGGAATTTCAGATAAATATAAAAATGATTTTAGGTGTAAGTACATCCATGCAATATTTATCATATACTAATAAACCATTTGTTGTTTTTCTGAAATTTAAATTTAAGTGAGTGTCCTGGATGTTTTTATTGCTAAATCTGACAAACCTGATGGTTTCCCAGGAAGAGATCAGGGAGCAATTCCCAAAGAAGGGGGCCTGACGGTCTAGACAGCTGACCACTGCAGCCAGCCCCCTGCTGCCACCCACCAGGTTCAAGTCTTGAAGCAGCTCCGGCTTCAGAGCCTGGCCCACATTCACAGTTAATGGTTCTTGGAGGTGGCACCAATGGAAGGTCACTGGGATTAAAGTCATCGGGGTGAGCACCTGTGATGGCATTAGTGGCTTCGTAAGAAGAGGAAGAGGGACCCGAGTCAGCACACCTGCTGTGGCTCGCCATGGGACGCCCTCTGACATGTCACGATGCAGCAGGAAGGTCCTCAGCAGATGCAGGGCCCTCGATCTTGAACTTCTAACCTCCAGAACCTTCACCTAAATAAACCTTTATTCTTTATAAATGACACAGCCTGTGGTGCTCAGTTATAACCACGGAAATCAGAGAAGTGGCAAAGCCGCCTTCCCAGCTGCCTGGCGCGGTGCCAGTGGCCCTAACAGCATCGTTTCCGGATGGCAGCTCCGGCATCTTGGGTGACCTGTGGACAGGCAGGTGCTGATCGTCACCTCCTTTTGCAGCCCAAGGTCACAGGTCCATCTGTACTGGCTTAAGCTTTGAAGGGAATTTATTAGCTCTTGTAGGCAAGGCCCAGCATGGCTGCGTGCAGGGTTCCCTAGAGCTGGTGTTTCTGCATCGACATCCCCTTAAACAGGCTCTCTCCACGTTCTGCTCCTGCAGAACGTCTTTACGTCCCTCAACCCAGCTCCGCCCCCATGAGCTCAGCAACAGAGGAAAGAGAGCTCCCTCCCCTTCAGCAGCCCGCGAGAGCTCCAAGGAAGAAGCTCAGTTGGATCCATCTGGGCACACGCTCATCCTGAACCCATCATGGGACAGGGGGCGGGAGGTGCTGCCTGGCCCGGGGACCCCAGGGGGATCTATGGAGGGCAGCCCTGACAGACACCATAAGAGGATCTGTTTAGAGATATTCTGGAGCTGCCTGTGGGCTGAGAGTGGGGACCAGGCTGATGGTGGGCCTCATCCTGCCGTCCTGCTCTCAGTGGGGCGAGGCCTTGGGATGATGGCCCCATCTCAGAAGGCAGGCTCCATGGAGCAGCCTGGCATCCCTCTCCCCTGGGGCCATCCCAGAGCCTTTTAGGAATGAGAACTCAGGCTGGCAATGCCCAATTGTCTGGAAAATGGCATTCGATGACTCTCACTTCTAATACAAAAGGGAAGTAAGGGCATAGACGCTGGAGGACTAAGATGAGCATTGATCATGAACTTACTGGGTTCCATTGCCTCCACTGTATCTCAATGGCTTTGCAAATAATCCTGAGTTGGGCACCATTATGACCCTTGGTTTTCAGATTAGGGAAAGTGGCACAGAGAGTGGAAGTGCCTTTCTTGAGGTCAAACAGCCGGGAGGTGGTAAAGCCACGTCCAGCCCAAGCCCGACCATTCCAGACATCTCTTCTGTGGTTCTCACAGAGCAGCACAAAGGTCACCATGGTGAGTTTCCATCTTCCAGGAAGGAGCACAAGTCCCATTTCAGGTCTCCAGCTCTCGCTTCTTCCAGGAAGGAGCCAGGCCTGCCTCCTGCCAGGGGCAGTCTGTGATCCACCACGTGAGAACCCAAATGTCGCTCTCAGTGTGGGTTCCCAGCGGGTGCTGCGTTGGGCAGTCAGGCTGGTTCCAAGGATGCAAGAACAGTCCCGGGGGACCCTGGCCCTGGAAGCCTGCGGAGGCAGCTCTACAGAGCAGGCACAAGCTGACCCGCCAGGACCAGGTGTCCACAGTGGGCCCCTCACCACACACAGGAAGGCTGCCTGGCACGGGTCAGAAGTGCAGATGCCATCGTCACCAGGCTCACTCCAAGCCCCAGCTCTGGTAGTTGAGTGACCCCAGGAAGACCCCAAACCTCTCCAAACCAGAGATAATACCTCTGCCTCCCACAGCTGAGGTGAGGTTTAGCTGAGAATCCAGAGGAAGTGAAGCTCAGCCGGGCCTGGGGCCCTGGACAGACAGCGGCCCCTCCCCTCTCCTTGCCTTTGTGCAGGGAGGCGGCCAGCCCAGCCCAGCAGCGACTCCTGGTTGATGTGCAAGTGTTCCCCACGCTGCAGCGAGTGGAGCCCTCAGGGGGCTTCTGAAGACGTCCTCAGGAGGCCACTAGGGCTCCGCCACTGCTGTCTGCGCCACAGGCTGGGCACGCTGCCCCCCCACCCCCCGCAAGACAGGGGACAGCTCCACAGGGACGAGCTCTTAGCCCAAAGCGTCAGGAGGGCCAGGCTGAGAAACGCTGGCCGGGCGAGCTGGTCCTGCTCCTGTCTTCCCAGCATCCCTGGCCGCTGGGGAGACAGGAAGAGCCCAGGAGAAGTCTGGGCGGGGCTGCTGGCAAAGCCCCTGCCTCAGGATGGGAAAGAGAGCGCTGTGCTCCGCAGCCCCTCCAGCCTTCCTCTTCTCAGAGCACAGGTGTAAGGGTCCCTGCAATGAGGCGGCGTCCAGCCCCGGGAAAGGGTGGAGATCACCCTGGCTGGTCCTGCTCCAGGCTGCGCAGGCACAGAATGAGCCAAGGCCTTTGACTTCTCCTTGTTGAGGAAAGTCAATTCTCAAATCACATTATTTTCTGTTACTTTTAAGCCAAACACAATCTTAACCAGTTACGAAAGCAACTGACAAAAACCAAGAAAAGAAAAAAGAATGAATGCAGTTCACATCGCCCCACAAACCTCCAAAGGAAAAAGGAAAAAGCCAGGATCCTCCCCAGCCGCCCCACCTCCCCCCTGACCCAACTTCCTCCCTCCCTCTGCCTTGTCCTGCTGACCCTGGGCCCCGTCAGGGCCCAGCCCAGAGCTCCCTGCTGCACAGCTGCAGCCTGAAGGTCTGGGGTGGCCCCTGCTCACCCTGCAGCCTCCCCCAGCACTTGGCCTTGTTCCCTGCTCACGGCCCCCCTCACAGCCACATGCCCGCTGCTCAGCACGGACCCCGTGGGCAGCACTCAGAGACTCACTGGGGGAAGAAACAGCCTTCTTTCATTTCGTTTATTAATTCCATTTTTAAAATGAGATCATTTTTAAAAAATCATCTGAAAAGTCCTTTTTAATAAATAAAATACCTCTTACGTACAACCTTTTTCATTATACAAAAGAACCAAGTCTTTTTAAAGCAGCCTGTGCCTCATTGCTGGCAGATTTTGAGAGGAGTCCACACCAGCCCCGAGCCTCTCCTCGGATGGGCCGTGGGGTCAGTAGCTCACACCCCGCATGGCGGCCACCGTGGTGCTGAGGCGGCGCGGCAGACCCTTGCTGACCTGCCTGTAATCCTCAGGCTTGGCCTTCAAGAGCGTCCCGATGTTCTGGAGGGTGCGGGAAGGCTGCAGGCCCAGGGCGTCCATCACGTTGATCAGGTAGTCTGCGGGGCGGGAGGAGGCAGATTCAGCAGTGAGAGGGACGGAGCCCCGAGGTCTCCCCTGAGCAAGGAGGGAGAAGCCCCCAGGTCCCCAGAGCTGGTACCTGCTCTGCCCCAGGGAGGCAGGCCTCCAGGCAGGGCCTTTCCAGCAGGGTCACACTGGACTCAGAGCTTGGCCAGAGTCAGACGTTAAAAATTTAATGACAGCCTAACTGACCCTTACCACCTCCCCTGCCACCCACCCCCTTCCAGCGCCAGTCTGAAGGACAGAAGGGCCTCACCCAGAGCTCTGGGCTCTCCTGGGTTCCTGTCCCTGTCCCAGTGCATCCCAGTGCAGAACCCAAAGGGCAGGACACATGGGCCCAAGGCAGCAGTGACCACCCCAGTGAAGACAAGGGCAGTGCCGGGGCGGTGGCCTGCTATGCTGCAGGTTCCTGTTACCGGATCACCCCGGGCCTAGTCCAGGAGAATGTCCAGGAGAGGACTCCAAGGTCCTGTCATTGTGAACAGGAGCCCAGTGATTCTAACAACCAGCATCTCGAAGGCAGCACAGGTCCGGGGCCAGCAGGGACAGAGGCCATGAAAGCACCAGCGTGTCAGAGGTGACCAACCACTGGGTGCTGCCTGTCCTTCCTGGGCGGGCCCAACCCCAACCTCAGGGAAGCCTCAGCAGATGGGCAAGGGCAGCTCCACCTTCTTCCTGCTGTGAGGGATGGGGAAGCTGCACTGTCTAGAATGTCCCCGTCACCTCTGATCACTGCCTGTCCCTTCTCTCTGGCTAGACAGGAGCTGCAGGCCAGGCCTGGATGTTCCATTGTGTCTTCTGTTTAAGGCCCTGCTCAGGGCAGGAACCCGGAGATGGCTGCAGTCCTGAGGCTGACTCATGCCAACTCGGGATGAGCTGCTGCCCAGGAAAGAAGCTCGTCCAGGCACCTGCTCCTAGGCGGGTTCACCCTCCAAACTGCGCTCCACTCGGCCGCAGGCCAGGAGCTGCAGAATGCGAGCCGGCGGTCTACTGTGACATCCTCTTGTTTGGCCATCAATGTCCTCTGCTGGCTGTGTTCATGGCTGACCCGAATGCCTTCCAGGTAGGCTGTACCACCCTGGACTTCGCCACTCCCCATCCTGCACCCTGACACCTCACACATGGGGTCCCCCTCCCAGCTTCGTCCCCTTACGATGTGGCTCAATGAGCAAAGGAACCATCTAAGTCTCTGTTGCAGCTCATCTCCTAGCACTATGGCTGGCACACAGTAGGCACTCAATCAATGCAGAATGAGTGAACCCATAAATCTGAAGCTTAACAGGGAGGGGGAAACAACATGGACAACTGAAAGCCAGGGGCAATCCCGAATCTCACTCGCACACGAGTTCTGGTTGCTTCTCTCGGGGTGCTCCAGCCCAGGCTCACGGGGAATACGGGACGGCGTCTGACTTCCCTCCTCTGTCCTCTGAATGCTGTTCCCAGGGAGACAGCCAAATAGCTGCTCTCCTGTGCGAACTGCTGGGAGCTGACTAGGAAGTGAGCAGGGAACCAGGCAGCGAGACTCCAGGCCCCACTGCATCCCTAACCACCCAAGGGCCCAAAAGATAGCCCCTCGCTTCTATTTCTTTTGCAGAAAAATAAGAGGCAGGAGTTGAGCCTGGCTCCGCTCTGCAGCTGCCCATGTCCAAACTCACCAGGTCCTCAGGGGGCTGATCTTTCAGGCTCCCTCCACCTCCCTCCTGACCACCCAGGATGCCTTGGGCTTGAGTGCAGGCAAGTGGATGGAAAGAATCCCAGGAACTGAACCTCTCTCCTGCCACCCGCCAGCAGCAACCAGTGCAGCTGGGAACAGGAGGCACTGGGCCCTGTCTCCTGAGGGAGCCCACGCAGCAGCCCTCACTACGGCCTGGTTATGCAAGAGCACCTGCCTCACAGGACTGCACAAGGTTCAGCGCAGAAGGCCGGGCAGGGCCAGGCTGCCTCTCGCTCAGACTCCTCTCCCTGGAGCTCCCCTTCGTGGCTCTGGGCCTCAGGCTCATGAAGTCTGCACCTCTCAGGGCAGGGCCAGCTTCAGAGATGAATCCAGAACTGAAGCTAAACCCAGGACTTGGGATAAGATCCCTGGAGGGCAGGAGGGCGAGTTGCCCATGGGACCCACCAATGTCGGTGGCCAGCTGCTTGGTTGAGTGTGGGGTCAGCTCTGGGATCTGGAGGATCACGTCACAGTAGGTCTGCATGGTGGCTCTGGCGATGGAGCCCAGCCAGTTGTCGGCCATGTTGTCCAGCTCGGGCAGTTCATCCCCTGGAAGAGGAAAGGAGGTCACCAAAGCAACCCAGAACCACTCGGGAAAAATTCACCTCTTCTGGGTGACCTGGCCCACGGCAGGAGTGGGCCAAGTGTGCAAACTCGCCAGGGAGCTATGGCCTCGAAGGGAAGAAAACGCGGGAGACAGGGAACAAGGAAACCTCAGGTCAACTGGTCCTGAGGAAGCACAATGTGGATCCAGAAACGAAAACAACCAGGCGAGGACAAAGGTTCCACGCAGGCCACGAGAGCAAGTCCAGCCACGCTGGCCAGGGGGCTTCCACAATCAGGGAGGGAGACAGACAGCAGGAGAGGAAACCAGGGAGAGGAGAGCCCCAACCCGAGGGGGCCTAGGTGGGAGTGGGAGGGGCCGGAGAGTCACCTGGAACTGCGACAGGCTCAAGGCCAACCCCACCTCCGGGGACTGAGCATTACCCAAACACCCCCCAACTGTGTGTGTTTGTCACCTGTACAGTAGAGAGAACCAGAGCCCCGACTTCCAGGGATACTGTGGGAACTACAGCCACACGCAGGGCCCCTGCAAGGTGCTCACACACTTGGAACTCAACACGTGGCAGCTCCTAGTTCTAGAAGGATCATGAGGAGAGGAAAGGGTCTCACAGGGTCAATGGGAATAAACTGTGGGGGAGGAGGCTGGTCACGGAGGCTGCCTGATAGGGCAGGATAGGGGGCACCTGCAGGATCGCAGTGAGGCTGCAACACGACAAGCCCTTGCAGGGGACCCGGTCAGGCTGCGGCAGGGCAGAATGAGAGGTGACGCTCCAGGCCAGGGAGATGGCCTGGCTGCCAAGGAAGAGGGACACTTGTCAGGAAAGGAAAGAAGGGGAGACGTGAGAGCCACATTAAAGAAAAGAGAGAGAGAGGGGGAGAGTATGAAGCCAACTGTGAAGAAGAGCACACCGTGGTCCTGCTGCGACCACCACTAAAACCAATGACACACGGCCCAGGCTCCGTGAGGACCGCCACCTGCACTCGGCGCCGGGGGACGTGTGGGAAATGGAGCAGCGGCATGGTGTGGCGTTGTTAGGTCGTGATCTTGTTTACACACCCACCTGCCCCACAAATCTAAATTAGAAGGCTAAAAAGACAATCAGGGCTTGGTGGCAGAAAAGCACAAGGGCAACTCGTGCAATCTCAGGTTTCCCAGGAAACTGGAGGCTGGGGTGCTGCAGGGGCAGGGGAGCAGGTTTGGGAGAGGAATTTCTGTCAGAGAACGGCAGAGAGCACCTGCGTTTGAGAGCTGCTGAAGATGAAAGGTGACCAGTGTCTGGTGTGGGTCTCAATTGTCCCCCAACAGTGTTGAGGCTTGGTCCCCAATTCAGCGATACTCAGAGATGGGGCCTCTGGAGGTGACTGGGTCAAGGGCTCTAATCCTTGATGAATTCATTGAATGGCTATTGGGAGGAGGTGGGAAGTTAGGCAGGGCCTCCATGGGGGAAGTAAGTCCTTTGGGGTGTGACCTCGAAGGCTGTCTTGTCCCTGGCCTCTTCCTCTTTGCTTTCTGGCTGCCATGAGGTGAGCAGCTGTCCTCTGCCATGCTGTTCTGCCTCGCCACAGGCCGAGAGCAACGGGGCCAGTGAGGAACCATGAGCTGGAACTTCTGAAACTGTGAGCCAAGATAACCTTTCCTCCCGTAAGTTGATTTTCTCGGGTATTTTGTCACAGCAATGGAAAAACACAACTACATAAAAATGGGTGAAAAGGAGAAAGGGAAATGAGCAAGAGACCAAGGCTCGTGCCCCAGGAGACAATCCAGAGGGAGAGGGATAAGGAGGCAGAGGAGGTCCCACACTGGGCATAGAGCTGCACCGTCCCTGTTTACTGAACAGGTGGGTATGGCTCTTCCACTCAGTGGCAGCAGTTCATGAGTCTGCACCTGCCCACAGACGAACACAGAGGAGGCTCAGCCCCAGAACAGGAGCCACCCGCCACAGTCCCCGGTCCAGGCCTCCAGGGAGTGGTAGACCTCTACACCACGCAGCGATTTCGTCCTCAGCCCAAGCCACAACTTCTGCCCCACTGCCAGCCAGCACTTGGACCATGACAAGGACACAGGCCTGAGGTTTCCTGAAAACAACTGCTACAGCCCAGTGTCTGTGCTCGGGAGCACGGGGGCAGGGGGCCCCTGGGACAGTTTAACTTCCCCAAAGGTCAGTGTCCTTGTGGGGAAAGACCTCGTCAAGGTCTTTAAACCCTCCACGGCAGCTCTCCGAGAAAGCCCTTTCCCTGTGACAGAAGGCTCCCACTGGCTGCTCACCACCCAGTTCTTAAAACCTAGAAACCGCCAGGTGCTGTCGGATGCTCACTGTGTAATTGTTCCCAGTTTTCTGTATGTTGGAAAATTTCCATCACAAAATGTTGAGAAAGGAAAACAAAAAATAAAGAAAAAACGAAACGCTCAGCCTGGCTGTTTTTGATGTTCTTATGTTTTCAACCATGTTGAAATCCACTTGGGGTGGCCACCTGGGCGGTGCCCAACCCATGGCCAGCACACAGTAAACAATTCACACACATCTGCGTGGTGAATGAGTAAATGAATGGGTGAAGGGAAACAATGGCTGGCTGGCTCTATCTTCATTTTTTTTTCCCTCTTCGGCAGGGTTGGGGATGGAACCCAGGCCTGGTGCATGCAGGGCAATCGCCCCACCACGGAGCCCCACCCGCCCGCAGACACAGATTCTAGGGAAACAGAAGCAATTCTGTCCTTCCTTGTGATGAAACCAGAGTACACACAGCACCACAAGTTTGCCAAGGAATCTGAACCAGCACTTAATCCTTAAACTTGACATAGAAAAGCAAGATTTATGAGTTAAATGATTAAGAGATTTGCTCTAAAGACTCTAGTGAAAAACATGAGAGAAATAGAAAAACCAGGGGCCATTTTTGAAGCTGGGCTTTGAGTACCTGGGGCTTCGTGACACTATTTGTGTGTGAAATTCCTATGAAAAAAATGTTTACATTTTTTTTTTTAATTTAAAAGCACATTTTAAGGGGCTAGGGACATAGCTCAGTGGTACTTAAGTGTGAGCAGACCCTGGCTTTGGTCCTCAGCACCAAAAATTTAAATAAATAAATGAAACTTAAAAGTACATTAGAAAATAGTTGAAAATAAAAATCACTGACATGACCACAGAGTCCTTCAATAATAATAATTAACATTCTAGAGTACAGATACTTCTTGCACACAACAGAGAAATACATTCTTGTAAAATAACGCAGGAGGCACAGATATATGAGTAAAATAACCATCCTTCACATCTTTGCTCCCACGCCCTGTGCCAGGCCCCTGGTCCCCAGGGACGGATTCTTCCAGGCCTGTTCCCAGGGCTTTCTCACTGTATGTACTCAAAGGGTGGGTTCGCTTTACTCTTGATAAAGACCACCCTCAGAAAGCCTTTACCAATTTACTCTCCACCAACAGGCTCTTCACTTTGATTTTCTTCTGGTTTAAGTCATGAGCTACACTGCACACAGGACAGAGGTAGAAAGCACATCACAAACGTTTTAGAGAACAACTAAACGCCACTGGCCACGACACACCTCCCTGGGCAAGAACAAGGCCCCTGCAGTGCCCAAGAGTCCCCACATGGCCCTGCAAGTGCCGAAGCAGGTGTGAACTGGGCCAGGTCTGAGATGGCCTCCTGCTCTGCCCTGCAGTCCGCCCCACAGGTCCCCCACCCCAGCATGCTGCCTGGCTTTGGGTCTCAGGGACTCTGGAGATTTGCCCATGCCATGTGTGTAGCTCTAGCTCCCTTGCTTTCCAGGGTGCAGTGATTTTGTTGGACAGCCATATCATAATGCATGTACCCATTTTAATGCTGAAGGACCCCTGGGTTGCTTCCAGATTGGGCTACTACCAAATCATTATGAAGACCTTTATGATATATCTGGGGCACATATGGATCTGTATCCAGGAATAAAACCTGACGGGCCAAAGGGTCAGCACATTATCACTCTTATTAGAAATGCCAGACTGTTCCCAGGCAGATATACCAATTTCCTGAGGTGGATCAAAGCTCTCTAGTCTTTTCTTCTTACATTTATATTCACAGCAGTTCTGAAAATGGAACCACACGGCATATGGTATACTTAATACACTGGGAACACCTTTCCAAGTCATTAAATATTCTTCTATAATATTTTAATGACTACATAGCATTTTATTATATGGATATACTAGAAAATTTTAACTAATACCTGTAGTTTCTCAAAATGTTTCAATGTTTTGCCTTTATAAAAAGTGCTGGGGTGAAAATTCATAGTTATACTCATGATCATTTATTTTTCCATGTTTTTATTGTGACGTACTAATCATACATAATAGTGGGATTTGTTTTGACATATTTGTACCTGCACTCATGATTATTTTATGAGCATAATTACATAGCAACAATCTAAAAGGTAATTTTGTCAAATAGCCCTGTAGAAATTCAAATTATACAATATAAACTGTTATTTGTCACTATTGCCAATACTAAATGTAGTGGCTTTAGTATGTACATGGCATCCCTCAGGATCCATGGGTGATGGATCTTAGGAACCCCAGAGATATCAAATCCAGATATTTAAATCTCTTATAGTATTTGCATATCATCTCCACTATCCTCCTGTGTACTTTAAATAATCTTTAGATTACTTACAGCACCAAATATTATATACCTGGTTTCTATGCTATTGTTTAGGAAATTATGACAAGAAAAAAACCTGCATGTTTGGTACAATGGAGATTTTTTTTTTCCCAAATATTTTTGATCCATAGTTGGTTGAATCCACAGATGCAGAACTCACAATCAGAAGACCAACAGTATACACACACACACACACACAATTTGATCAGTTAAAAATAGTATATTCTATTTTCATTTGCAGTTACTTGAAGATTAATAAAGTTAAATAAATCTTAATTTGGGGGAGTTATGAGAAGGCCTTCATGTTATTTACTGTATTTCTCTACATAATTGTTACAGATTTTATGCCCGATTTTTTTGCAAGTGGAGTGCGACCATTATGTGAAGCTTTTTTTTAATATATTTTTTTAGTTGTCAATGGACCTTTATTTTTATTTATTTATATGTGGTACTGAGAATCGAACCCAATGCCTCACACTTGCTAGGCAAGCGCTCTACCACTAAGCCACAACCCCAGCCCAAGCTTTTAATTGTGCTGGTATTACTTAAAAATCGTTTTTTACTAAACTATCTTTGCTGCAAGATTAGTATATTCAGAATACTCATGAATATGTGTTCATATAATGGTGATGATCATGCAGTGAAATACAGCCCTTATTTTTCTGTGGGGGATTCGTCTTTGTCTTTCTGATCTGTAAGATCATTTATAAAATAAAAATATTAACCATCATTAGTCACATATGTTGCTGTTTCTTCCAGTTGACCATTTACCTCTTAATTTCCTTTTCAAAATTTCTATCTTCCACTTCAAAAGGTCTTCCATTCTCTCCCCTAAGATTATATTATATCCACCCATATTTTAGCTTAGTAAGTTTCACATTTTAAATATGAACTGCAAATACTAGTCTTTTTAAAAATAATGAGTGTCTTTTATTTACGGTCCTATAAAACCTATGGAAATTTCATTTGTATCATTTTTGCAAAAGATTTATAGACATGAGACAGCAATGTCTGTTCTCTGTGGGACCCAAAGCTTTCGTTCTGACGATTAAGCACACCAATTATCCTGCTCAATTCCTCTTCGCATCCTAAATAAGTTTTCTTTTTGATGTCCCAAAGCCTAAAGGAGAGGTCTCCCCACAGTCCTGTGGTTTTGTCAAATTCTCAGTGTATGACTGATCAGGTATGTATTACATGATTTATCCGTTGTGTATTTCAGTGCCTTGTCATCTGACACTGAAGAGTATGTGACTATTGCAGGTTTACTGAAGGACTCACTTTTTATCCACATAAAAGAATCACCCAGGTCCCATCTGCTACCTTTTGATTTGAATCCAACTTATTTGTAACAATCATCCTGCTTTTTTAAAATTTTAGGCTATCTTCTGGCATTCTCAGTTTCTAGCCTTCTGGGGTGACTAGTTTATCGTCAGTGTGGAAACTCCCTATGAGCTGCTGAATCTTCCACATACCAGGTTGCTTCTCCTTGGGGCGGGGGGCCAATATTAGAAATTAGGATAATTTTTTGATCAATAAGTTCATGATCCCTGTTCAAATCTGTCAGGCCCAAATAACAAAAAGGAAGTATCTAAATGTATTATATTTTTGTCTGGTCAGTTTAGAGACTCGGGAGCCCTGGGAGTCAGCAGCAAGCTAAGGCTTGAGACATCTGCACAGGAGGCATTCCCTCTATGGGGAGAGCTGATTTTTGACAGAGCAAGCAAATCTGTTCCCATGAGGTGGCACGTGACATGGCACGAGGCCCACATGTCAGGGAGCCGAGGGAGGTGAATGCTCAGCAGATCCCCATCCTGTGAGCTCACTGCCACCTCCAATCACCCAGGACCCTGGGCACCACCTCCCCAGCTGAGGGGCCCTGGGTCCACTGCAGGGTCTCCGCACTCCTCCAGGGCTGCCCTGCCTCCAGTTCCTTCCCCAATGGCCTGGCCGGAGCTCTGCCCTGCTGAAGTGCCGCCGCAGGAGCAACCAGTGGCCCTGATGTTTTTCAGTCTCCACTGAATACTCTGACAACTATTTAAGTGGGGTTGAGAAAGAGACATTGGTGAGGAGTGAGGGTGTTAAAAACAAGCCTCAAGGGTCACTGGTCCCTTGGCCACAGGAGTCGTGGCTCCCTGGTCCTCTTACCTTGCTCAGGAGGAAACGGGAGCTTTCCGGCGTGCAAAGCCAGCTCTAAGGCAGAGTCCTCCTGAGTCACAAATGGCTCAAGATTCAGGGGCAGGGACATGATGTACTGCCCGATCTGAAACAAAAGAATGCACTTTCAGTCGGACACTGACGCAGACGGGCACTACTTACGTGGGACACTTGTGCAGAGTCAACAACAGAAAGACAAAGTGGCCAGAGTTGGGTGAGCACCAGTGTGTGGCAATGTCAGCTATGGCGACACCTTCAAAAAAGCCAATGGCAGTTTGCGGGGGACTGTGGATTCACCCTTCTCAGCAGCGGCCCCGATATTCAGGGAGGCGTTCACACAGTGCCTCCCAGGGAGGTGGTGGGTACCAAGGTGCTGTGTGAAACGTGAAGCACTGTGTGCACAGAAGTTCCCGATCCTGCGCACAAGGAAAACCAGGAAGTGCGCACGCCAACCAGAGCTGGCCCAGCAGGGACTCAGAGCCTGCCTTCCACACTGCATCTAGACGATCCAACGGGGAAGGAAGGGGTTCTGTTTGAAAACAGCCACTTATAACTGCAAACTCACTTGGAAAGAAATATGTAGTTTTCACAACAGAAACTAGAAAGTAAAGATTGACAAAACCAGGCTGGGGCTGAGCTCAGTGGCAGAGGTTTGATTCATCAGCATCAAGTAAATAAATAAATTAATTAATTAAATAAAGGCATTCTGTCCATCTAGAATTACAAAAAGTAAAAATAAGACTGACAAAACTTTCTTGGCTGACAGGGAATCACAAATGGTCAGGTAATGTGACATTTGGGACAAGCCCACAATCATTGCAGCATTTGTCCTGTGTTGTCAGATACTCCTGTGACAGTTATCACGGGTATATCTGACGCACCTATTTCTATTACAGCTCATAATTGTTTTATGTTTTAAGTATATATTTTATCTCAAAATAAGGCTGATTTGGGGGTTACAACAATATATACATTCTAGAAAGGTCTTCTGAGACTGTTGTTGCATTTCTTTTTTGGTGACATATTCTATGACATTCACCTATGGACACTTAATTCCACAAGCTGCAAGTCAGAGGGGTACTAAGGACCTTCTCCATCGGGCTTCATACACACCTCTCAGAACGAGGGCTCCAGGAGCTCATGCAGAATCTACAATCCACCCAGCCCGAGGCCTCTGGGATGTCCACCCTCACTTCCCACCATTTAGCATGGTCTCAGCATTCAGTGGTCTGTGTTGCCAACAAACAGTTCTTGGATTGGTCTCCCTCTAAAGAATCACACAGATGGGAAGAATGGCATGTCTTTTCTTTCCTCTTCATTCATTTACTTAGCACACTCTCTCACTCTAACCAGATAAGTGGCCTCTTACCTCGCAACCACCACTGTGGTACATTTCATCTTGAAAATGGCAACAAATCATCTTTCTCCCCACAAGGCTGGGAGAAAGGAAAGATATTACTTTCTGCTGTTGGATTTTCCTTCTAATTCCATTCAACAAGCATTTCCTGTGCACCTGCTACGTTCAAAGACCCAGGCCAATTCCTGAATTTGGTACCTTTAGGTACCAAACTTTGAGGTTAAATCCATGGGCCCAGTTTTGTTTGAAATAGAGTGTCATATTATTATAGCTGGTATCTACGTGGTTTTTAAATTTCCAAGGTCTTCTCTCATTTTCACCCCTTTATGATGCTCACATGATTTTGGGGGGAGTGGGGTGGGGTGATGGTTTACCAACAAGGCAAAAAAAATTTTCAACAAGGCTCGACATTTTAATAATCTGTCACCTTAAACTTCTATCAACTGGCCTTAGATGATAGGGACAGCCGTCGTTCCTAGACAGATCCCATGGCTCCAGCTTTCTCTTGGGGACTCTTGCCTCTATTTGTTCTCTGGAACTCGGTGTGGAAATGGATGCTTATCATCACACCTGTGGGTATTTATCTGCTATGCTCACATAATCAGTAAGCTGTTCTTGACATCCCATGCCTGGGGAAAATGAAAATCTCTGGGATCAGACAGGCCCGGGTTTGAGCCCCAGCTCTACCTCTGCTCGACCCTGGGTGACTTATTCTGTTGGAACCTTGGTGTCATCACTGCTCATATGAGGATGAATCGAGACCTACTTCAAAGTGCCACTGAGAAGGTGAAATGGATACTATGTGATATGCACATAAAGCACCTGGTGTCCCCACTGGGTGAGTGGCTGCTCCCTCCCGGCTGCCCTCTTGTTCACTAGAGCCTTAGCCACTCCTAGGAAAGAGGCTACTGGACAAAACTGAGACCATGGACCGTCTCACAGCACTGTCCTGGCATTTGGTGCACATTTAATAAAGGTTCCTTTCCTGCTTCCAGGGGTGACAACTTCCATCACATGGCAGGGCACCACGGGTGGCAAGGGCCTGGACCTGGGTCTCATCCAGCTTCCTCACTCCCTACACTTTGTTTCTTCAACCTTAGCATCAAGGCAGTTGGCTCTCACGTCCTTTCCAGAAACACCACTTTCTGAATCAGTCTAGATCATGATGCCTATCCTCCTAATCCTGAAGATATAAGCACTCCAATGCCTGGAAAGACCACCCACAGCTAGTCTCGTCCATCCAGGATGGCAGGCAGTGCCCTGGCACACAGGAGGAGGACGGCCACCGCAAACTCGCGCTGCTGCAAACAAGCCCCCGCTGAACACCAGCCTTCCCCCGCTGCAGAGCAGAGCTGCCGTTCACTACTTCCAACTTAGAATAATTGCTTCTCGAATTCCTTATCTGTTACAATTAAGTCACAACCTACACAGGAGCTGGATTCTAAGAGGTTCGGGTAGATAACCTACAACACTCCAGAAGTTTCTTGCTATGTGAGGTATGCACGGCCAGGGTGTGTTACTCCTGTGCAGTCAGTTATCTGCGCACACTGACAATTAGGAGCAAGGGAGCGGGGCTGCAGGAAGGAATGGAAGGAAAGGCCATATGCAGATGACCAGGGTGACTGTCAATTCCTGGGGGTAAGTGAGGAAGGCAGAAATGATTCTAAGGCCCCTCCCCGCTGAAGGTATTTCCTGTTCTCTTTTCACTTTAAGCTTCTAGGTCTACCATTCTTCTTAAGAGATGTGCTTGGTGCAGTGAGGTTCACCACCAACGCACCCAGCACCAAGCCTGGCACAGGGTAGGAGCTCGCTAACTGTGTGCTGAACTTGAATTCAGAAACAATACGCACTGCTCTTCTCTAAGACAAGACAGAAGAATGTGACCACTGGCTCCTTGATTTCCCAGGTCCTAAGTTTTTACTGGACTCTCAAATCTAAAGCCCTCAGGAAATGGTCAATCTCATATAGGGAGAGAGGGAACAGGGTAAAAATGTCTTAGGGCCTGAAGTGGTTGTGTGGCACTGCTGTCCAAAACCACGGGTGCAGACAACACCAAGGGGCAGTGAGCACCTTACCTAGAAGGCCAGAAACAAAAGACCAGGTGAGACCACCCTGGAGAAGCACCCGGAAGCCCTTACGTTGCTGATGTACTCCAGAGGGGTGAGGCTGAAGGCGGGCAGGTCATCGGTCAGGGTCTCGCCGATGCCAGCTGTGGTCCAGCTCTAGGGGAGGAGAGAGAAAGCCGTTGAGGGCACGTCTGGCAGTGCTGGAAACGCCACGCCAAGGCACTCGAAGAAGCGGCCTGCCTGAAAGGGGTCAACTGCGATCAGCACTGACCTCTGAACAACCCAGCGGCCAGGGGTTTCTCTTCTTCAAATCTCCTTGAAGCCCAGAGAAAGGAATCATTTCTCTCTCGCTGGGAACACCCCTTCTCAGTCCAGCTACTGGGTGGCTCGGCTCCCTTTTATCTCACTGGGCACATGAAACGAGAGTCAGGGACCATGTCAAATCCTGCATCTTGGGAAGGAGGCTCAGAAGCCCCTGGGCTGCAGGCTTAGCCCAACGGCAGTCCCCAAAGCAACTCTGCCTCAATTAAAGCTGCAGTTTGTACTCCTATCTGCCTTCTGGATCTATTTCTCCACTGACTCGGGCTCAGAGGGAAGGGAGAGGATGGAGCCTCCAAGCCTCAGCAGCCACCCTCCGTCCTCTCCGTGACTCTGTGACCTCTGACGGACGAGGACCTCAGCCCCTCCACATGGCTCTGGCCAGTTACAGCAGAAACATGTCAGACGTTGCTGCTGGAGCTTCTCAGCACCCTGCAGGTGAACTGCCCCCCACACACGCTCACAGACCCCAGCTGGGCACCCCTCCTACACAATGCTGGCCTCCCGGACCCCACTTGAGCCGCCCTAACGGCAGCCTGGAAAACAGGTCCTTTCCTGGTGGCCCGTGGGAGTGACTCCTGAGGTCACCATGTAGCTGCTCTCAGCAGCCACCTGATGCCTGATCCGGTTGCTTGATCCTTTAAGTAGCATTCCGGGAATGGAATGACCACGTCCACCCCCCTACTGGGCTCCCAGCCCGGGCTCAGCCCGCAGGCCTCCGTGGCCGCCAGCATCGACTCCACTGCTCCCGGGTCTCCTGGTCTTTGCTGTGGGTGAGTTCTGTCCTTCTCCACCTCTTGAGGTTTCCTTGTTCTTGTTTGAAAATTCTTTCATTTCAAAAGATCCCACCTTTTTTCCAATTAACTCAACCCACTGAGAAGCAACTCTAACCATCCACACTCACCAAGTACCTGTGAAGTGCGAGGTCTCATGCTAAGCTCTGTGAAGCTGATACAAAGAAATCTAAGACTTGCCCTTGTCCTCGGAAGCTCCTTGGAGAAGCAAGATCCCCCTGATACGCCCATGCTGCCTGCCCCCCACCCTGTGCACACACATGCACGTGTCCATGAGAGCTTTCAGGGTCACATGGGAGATTTTATACGGAAAGAGCTCAGGCAAGCAAGAACTCAGGGTGATCAGAGAAGGGCTGGCCATAGGATGTATGCAGTGCCCTGAGGCAGGAGTAAGGCTGGAAGGAGAAAATCAGGCTAGGGAAAGATCTTACCTCCAACACACTGACTGCAAGAGGAAATGGGGGAGGGGAGAGAGAAAGAAACAGAAAGAGAGACAGAGAGAGAAGAAGAGGAGGAGGAGGAAGAGGAGGCAGAAAAGGAGGAGGAGGAGGAAAGGGGAGGAAGAGGAGGAGAGAGAAGAGTCAGAGGCAGGAGAGAGACAGAAAGGAAATCTATAATTCAAAAGAGACCCCAAAAGACATGCCAGTCAATCCCCCTGTGCAGGATCCTGGATCCTGATTCAGTTAAAATGACCATGACATTTATAAGACAGTTGGAAAGTGCACACTGGTGGATGATATGGAGGAGCCACGTTCTTCTTTTTCAGGGGTGATTGTAGTATTGTGATTATTCTTAGAGTCCTTGAATTTTAGATGATAGTTTTTTACAAAAAGACTTAAAAATAAAAAGTCTCTAAAAACAGACTGCCAGACTGGCCCTGGAGAGTGGAGGCAGGGGGATGCTTTGAATGGGGCGGGGCGAAACCACAGCAATGCCCTGTGAAGACCGAGGCAGCAGCTGAGGAGGATGGGGGTGCACGGGAGATGAGAAGCTCAAAAGCGGCTCAGAGATGGCAGGAGCCATGGAAACTGCTGGGAAAGACCAGTGACAGTTGGTGGTTCACTGGCAAAGAGGGCGCAGAGAGGAGGCCGAGAAGTCACCAGGCGGGAAACAGAGGCTCCTGTTAAGACCAACAACGGTGCCACAGGGCAGGGCAGGACCACTGTGGGGGCAAAGACCAGCGTGGCCACCATCCAACCAAGGGATGAGTGCTGTGGGCTGGAGGCCGGAGAGGGTGCTGAGATGGCAGGAGCAGCAGCATCAGAATGGGATCCGTGCAGGAGGAAGAAGGGAGCGAGGAAGAAGTGTGGAAAGGGGAGAGACAGAGTGCGGAGCCTGGGAGAGGCCTAGGCCAGGCAGGAAAGGCGACCTGAGGAGGGCGACAGGGAAATGAGGTAGGTTATTTCTTAATTGTTCAAGTTTATTTAAAATGCCCTTCAAATGGGCTTTTCTACCCATCTGTCACCAGGTAATACAGATGAATGTCAATGATCTGTTCTGAAACTGGATACGGTGTTGGTTTATAGTCTTAAAACATAAAAGGGCAACACAATTTACAGCAAATGTTAAAAGCAAACATCTAATGACCAGGGTTTAATTTTCAGATCCTTCAGGCCCAAGTGTTTGCCTTTGTTTTGTGTGCTCTGCGCTGGCTCGCAGAGAACTCCTCCTAATCTGCAGAGCTGCTGGGCCCATTCCCAGTGGCCTGGAGGTAAGATCCCAGCCACCGAGACTGAATCATATAATAAAGAACTCTGGAATGCAGAAATGGAGGGGAGAGGACAGGTGGGAAGCAGAAACCTGTTGAAATGTAGAAGTCGGACCAAATAACTGAGGGAATTAATTTCAGAACAGAAGGTCAATATCTTAAGCTTTGAGAAAATAAAAATAATAATAGCAACCAAATCTTGAGGCAGAGCAGGGGAGATGAGTGATACAAGGAAAGCTAATACCCTCAGAGCAGGTGATCAGTGTCAGTATCTGTCTAAAATGGAAACACAATTAACAAAAAGTAATGACTCCAATCTTCAGAGTTCTCATCAACTTTTTTCTTAACCATGCAGATATCTTCAGAGAGCTAATATCTTTTGTGATGAAAAAAACAATGATCTCAAGTTCAACAATTTCATTTGTTCTCTTTTTTTCCCATTAAGTTCAAATCAAATAAAACTTATATTGTATGTGTTTTGCTTTTAAAAAAATTCAGCATGTACAGAGGAGCTCCATTTCTTCTTATGGATCTATCTGTGACTCTACCTGGCAGCATTAGAAGGTGTGAAGAGAAGTCCAGATTGCCAGATCATTTCTAGATGGTGCAATTTTGAAGGGATTTCTTTGCACTTTCCTATATTCTTTGAGTTTCTGAAAATTAATATATGCATAATTTTTATTTTTAAAAATCAAGTCATTTCTTTTAAGACTAAGAATCATAGCAAGGGGCTGGGGTTGTGGCTCAGTGGTAGAGCACTTGCCTAGCATGTATGAGGCACTGGGTTTGATCCTCAGCACCACACAAAAAGAAATAAATATAATAAAATGATTGTGTCCATCTACAACTAAAAAAAAATGTTTAAAAAGAATCAGCAAGGAAGAAAACTTCTGCTCATTAATAAGGTCTACTCTGGGGCTGGGGCTGTGCTAAGTTCTATCATATGAGTCCTCACCAATCTGTACGTGAGAACGACTGAACCCTCATGGTATAGACGAGGAGGTGGAGACCTCAGAAGAACGAATAACCTCAGTCTTGCGAAGCAACGCGACCACGCACGGCAGGGACCAGGCCCTGAACACTCGCCGCAGCAAAGCTGCCAGGCAGCCGTTTCTGCTCCAGTCTCATCTAGTTTCACCTGTCTTCAATGCCAGAATGAGAAATGTGACTGGAGTAGACTCCTTGGCCCTAAGGAAGAGTGAAAACCACAGAACCTCGGGCACAGGAAGAACCTTACAAACATGGAGTTAAGCTGAGCCATTTTATTTATGGAAATTCTGGTACCCAGAGAGGGGGTGAGACGGGACTGACGTCTTACAGCAGCCCAGGCTCCTGGCCTCAGGTGCTTTCTGGAGGGCAGCAGACAGCAGAGAACGCATAATCATGCCATGAAAGTTCTTGCTGCTTCCTTGGGGGACATTAAAGGCCCATAACTCAGTCTTTCCCAAAAGACTGTTTTTCAAAAGAGTGGAATCCAAATGTACTTAGGAGTTGATTAAGCAAGGGGCAGTCCCACCCCATAATCCAAAAGGAAAGTGGTAAGATCTACGCTGGATGGGAGGAGGAGACAGAGCAAGGGGAGCCCAGGACCCCTAGGCGATGCCTCCAAAGGGGTCGGGACAACCAGGCAAGAGCAGAGGGTGCAGGACGAGCATTCGAGACAACTCAGAAACAACCAGACTCAGGGTACCAGGAGAGAATGCAGCAGAACCCTCCAGGGCCTCCTCAAAAACACAAGATCGGATCTGATAAGGCGCTCTCCTGAGCCAAGCTCCAGGACCAATTCTCCAGAGACTCTCCTGTGGCATGAAAACAATTCAAACTCAAAAGGCAGCATGGCCTCCTGAGCTGGCCTGAGCCGGGCAGTGGCACACCCTCTCCCTTCCTCCCTGGGAAGGCAGGCTGTGCTTTCTGAATCAAGCCACACTAGCAATCCTAGAACACATCCTGCAAAAAAAGCATCTAAGTAACTACAATTAAGATAAGAAATTCATGCTAAGGCCAGGGACAGCGGTGCTCTCCTGTAATCCCAGGGACTTGGGAGCCTGATGCATGAGGATTGCAAGGTCAAGGCCAGCTTAGTAAGACCCTCTCACGAAATTTTAAAAAAAAAAATTTTTTTTTTAAATGGCTGGAGATGTGGCTCAGTAGTAGAGCACCCCTGGGTTTAATCCCCACTACCACAATAAATAAATAAATAAAGGAAGTTCATGGGTAAGCCATGACAACGTGGCCCTCTGCAGCCTAGGACAATCAATGTAGGATCCTCCTGAAGCAGGTGCGGTCGGGAGGGTTAAGGCTAGACTTAAATGTGCTCGAGGAGGAGGCAGGACCTGGGGGGAATCACCAAGGTCACAGGAAAACTCACCTCCATCTTGGAAACGAGTAGCAGCTGCTGTTTAATGCGCAGGAAGACGGAGTCGAAGGCCAGCTGGTGGGCCTGCTGGGTGAGCCGAGTCAGGGCTGCCCGCGGTGCGGCCAGCAGGTTGTGATTACTGGAGCCTTTTTCCTTAGACAAGAAAATCAAAAGGCACTTTGTGAGGCCCTGAAACCAACCAAGGTATCAGCTACTCATGTTGAGAGTTACTGAGAGGAAAACAGTGAAAGGGGTTCTGTGTACACCAGTGCCTGAGCCTGGCTGCGCCCCAGGTCCTGGGGAAACATCCCAGACCACTGAATCCGAGTCCTCCAGGGTTGGAGCCCTAGAACCTAAATCTCTGACTCACTTTCCCAAGGTGATTCGGATGCATTTGGGCTAATATTTTGGTCTCATGGATTGGCAGTTTAGGAAGACACAACCTGTGACCCTCCCTCAGGGATAGAGGAGGAGGAGAAAAAAATGACCAGAGGCTTCACACATAAGCAAGAGTGATGGACAGAGCCTGATTCCCAGGGAGGTCAGGTCAAGTTACTTGGCTGAAAGCCAGGTTACGCACCACCTGTGTGAGTCCCAAGGAATGCCAAACAGCCTGAGAAAATACAGAGATGGAAAATGTAACCTTAGTTTTGCTATTACAAATGAACTGATTACAACAGACATGAATCAGATTAGCAATAAAGATAAACAGAGCTGCTTTAACCTAACCTCAGAAGCATGGATGAATGAGCTTACAGAATTGCCTTAAGAAGCATGTTTGTCAAGCTCAAGTGCAGCCAGTTGGTGGGCCACAGTGCAGAGACAGGGAGACCCTGGGAGGGAGAACCGGAGCCTCAGCTGTGTCTAACCTCACTGTGCAGTTCACCCCAGAGCTCTGGGCTGGTCAGGAGCACTGGAGACTGCATCTGGTGGGACAGAGAGAGACACACCTTCTCCAACCAGACCACGAGGTGGGGAGGATTCTGGACCTGATGACCACTGCCCTCTTACAACCCTGGGAGCCATTTCCAGGAAACCCTGTGACTTATCCGATTTGCTGGGAAGTTCTCCCATCTCTGAACCCAAGAGGCCCAAAGTGCAAAGTTAAAGGGAGCTTTACAGCAGACAAATAAAGATCTCAAAGAAGGGAGGAGGGGACCTTTATCCCCAGGTCCTCCAGACTCCTTGTGGTGGAACTCACAGCACAGAGCTTCCTGGGGTCTCTCTGGCCCATCTCTGGGGAAGCAGTGACTTCTCCAAATGCTGATTTGGGGTCCTCCTGCCTGTACATATGGTCCCTCCTGCCATTCAATAAAAGGGGACTGCACCAAACACGGCCAGGGGCTCCCAGCTCCACCCGTCCTGTGGACAGGTCTGCTCTGGAACGAAACACAGCAAGCCCCCGGCCATGGTGCAGAGCCACGTCTCAACCTGGCTTCTACCAGTAAGAAAGATCCATCTATCGAAGGGCCTCTAAGTTGCTTTTGTGAATTGAGCTGCCATAAACACTGATATGGCTGTGTCCCTGTGATATGCTGACTTTAAGTCCTTTGGGTATAGACCAAGGAGTGGGATGACTATGTCAAATGGTGGTTCCATCCCAAGTTTTCTGAGGAATCTCCATAGTGCTTTCCAGAGTGGTTGCACCAATTTGCAGTCCCACCAGCAAAGTACGAGTGTGCCTTTTCCCCACATCAACACCAACACTTATTGTTGTCTGTATTCTTAATAGCTGCCATTCTGACTGGCGTGAAATGAAATCTTAGTTTTGATTTGCATTTCTCTAATTACTAGAAATGTCAAACTTTTTTTTAATTTGTTGATCGAATGTATGTCTTCTTCTCAGAAGAGCCTGCTCTGCTCCTTAGCCCATTTGATTGGTTGTTTGTTTTTCTGGTGTTAAGTTTTGTTCGTTCTTAATATATCCTGGATATCAGCTCCAAAATCATACTGGATATCAGTATGGCAAAATGGTGCAAAGCTACAACCAGAGAAATGAAAAGCTGTGCTGTAATTGTGTACAATGAATCAAAATGCATCCTGCTGTCATATATACCTGATTAATATAAAATTAATTAATTCATTGATTAAAAAAAGAAAGATCCATCGCCCTCCAAGCAGCATCTTAATGGTTTCAACCCATTTGGGTGATTAGCTCCTTAAAAGCCCAACATGAATGAGAAAGAGAAGTGGTGGCAGGACACACAGAGGGCCTGGAACCTAGAGAGGGTGGGTGACAAAGGAGGACCTTTCGTTTGCAAGAACGCCATCGTCTGCTCTCCCACCTTGAGGGTATAGAGGGTCTCCATTAAACTGGCGTACTCGGCAGGGTCGTCTTTCTGGAGGTAATTGTACTCCTGCCACGGGTTCTTGGCAGAGCTCCTCTTGTCTGTCAAGATGCTTTCCTGAAAGCCAGCCAGGCTCCGAGGGCTGTAGGAGTCGGACAGATACTTCCCCGCTGTGGACAGAATCCTGTAATGAAAGCGATGGCTGTTACGCCCCGGGCTATTTTTAAGGAGCTCTTTTTCTCTGAGCAGGCAGATTATTCCTTTCTAAATTGTAAGACATCAAACGAGGCAGCAGAATGAGGTCCAGTTCATAAGGGAATGAAGACAGCCTTCATTACTCAGGAGGGAACTGGACCTCAGGGGCACAGTAGGGCCAGGTGATTCGGTTTCCTATTGAACACCCCAATGGACACTGTCTTCCTAATGGACACACAGCCTACCCAAGGGCAGCTCTCATATGCTGCCATCTGGGACGCAGTGTACGTTCTATGTAGAACATTCTTGCTATATGCGCATCACAGTGTTGAATAACCAGCTGTCGGGATGAGCCACCACCACTAAAGTCACAGAGACCACTGGGCAGGGCAGCGGGTGATCTGGTCCCTGGAGAATAGTGACAACTTGCCACATGCCTCTTTACCCACAGGATGCACCGTCCCACGTGCTGGCTGCTTGCCGGGGAAATGCATGAGCGTGCACCGAGGAGGGAAAGCCACAGTTCTATCTATTTCCTTAGCTCACTTCCTTTTCATGATAAGTTGTTGCCCACTCTTCTGCCCTAAGAACTTGGACACTTATACTGGATTCCCAAAACCTGGTTGTCCATTCAAGTTGTCCTACTATGACACTTTCCTGATGAAATACAGATGCCCTTAGATTTATGATGGGGTTACGTCCAGCAACCCTTTATAAGTTGAAAGTGTCCCAGGTACAAAGTGCATCTGATCCACCCAACCTACTGGTCATCTTCGCTCACAATGCAGCACACCATAGAGCACCAGTAGCTTCCCTTCTGGACCACATGGCTAAGGGTAGCTGAGCCTCACTATTGCTACCAACATGGTGAGAGAAGATGGTAGCCTGAACATCACCAGCCCAGAGAATACCAAAACTCAAAATTCAGAGTGTGGTTTCTACTGGATGTGCATTCCTTTCAGACCATCCTAAAGTTGAAAAATTATGAGCAAAACCATAGTCAGGGGCCTCTGTAACAGTGTTCCAGAGTGAGTGGCGGACACTGGAACACACACAGAAACTGCAGTAATCTCCCTGTGTCTCACCCAAGCTGCCCAGGACTAGAGAATCTCTCCAGTGACACCCAACCCAGCCCTGCTTTACTCAGGCCATAAATCACAAAATGACTCCTTCTGCAAAGAGGTGAGAGCCTGGTGGCAATGTCGGCTATCACTGCCGCAGACAGGAGTGTTCTGGGCGATTGCTCTGCGCCCCGGGGAGTGGTCCTGGTGAGAGTGTGGGTTCCCAAGGGGAGACTGATGGGGAGATAAGATAAGCTTTACAGGCGGCCACCACACATGCCACACAGGCTGTGCAGCCTCCCAGACAGAAACACGGATGGCGACTGTCCCTTCCCAGGCTCAGAGCAGCTAGGATGACATCACCCCCTTCAGAGGCTGCTCTCGTCTTTAGCCAAGGTGGAGCCAGGCTCTCGCCTCTCAGGGACGCAAAACGCAGCTGGAGAGGTTCACCCTCACCCTCTCCTCCCTCTCACCTTCCTAACGGGACCGCCTTAGCCTTTGGATGGTAAAGATCGAGGAAAGCCTGCATGTCCTGATGAGAAAAGATGTCTGATAGATATACTCAGAGAAATGCCAGCACAAGGTGACACGCGGGACGCTCACAAGCTCTGGTGACTCAGGCGACATCAAGGCTCAAGTCAGTGCCTCTCGTACAAAGCTATTTCTACAATTTTTTTTTAACTTAGAAAGTTATTACCTATAGCAAAGTCTATGCCTCAGTGTCCCTTTGCCTATAAACATGAGGTTAGAGTAGTAAGTGCACACCTCCTCAGCCACTGGGGGGATTCATCTTCACCAGGGATTCCTAGTGAAGCTCAGGAAGTGTTATAAAGGGGGAAGGGGACACAGGTGTAGGCCCAGCTGAGACAGGAGGATCACAAGTTCAAGCCAACCTGGGAAACTTAGTGAGACACTGACTTAAAATGTTTTTAAAAAGGGGGCAGGGGGTCATCTGGGGTTGTAGCCAGAGTGTGTGCGTGTGTGCTAGGCAAGCACTCTAACCACTGAAAGAAAGATGGAAATATGGGAAGTTGGCACCCTTTGGACGGAAAAAAATGGGCCAACGGGGCCATCTCAGAGTGATGTAAAAGCCCTAGCAGCATCACAGAAGAGGGGGATAGGGGACCAAATTCTCCTTGCACACACACCTGCTGCACAGGTTTTTACTGCAGGCTGGGGAAGGCTGTCTGGTTCCCTGCTCTGTGAGATGGCCCGGGCCCTTCCCCACCACTGGAACACTGGAGCCCAATAACTGGCTTGACAAACATCAGTGAGCGCCCAGCCCATACACGATTTGGAAACAACATGTACTGTTTCCTCCTTTAGGCTGAGACCTCCACAGCTAACCAAAATCACATGACTGGTGCCAGTAGAACAGCCTTGCCCTTTATAGGTACTCAATAAATGTTTAATGATGACAATAATGACACCTTGTATCTAGGTTCAGACAATTCATGAGCTTTCAGATTTGACCATATGCTGCCCTTGCTGTACTGTACTGGATCAAGTTCCTCCAACCAAGAACCCCAGGGCCTGGACGACAGGACACCCCACTGCTACCTGTTGGCCAGCTGCTGCTCGAAGTCCCCACACTGCCGCAGGAGCTCTCCACAGGTGGCTATTATCCTAAACAAAACAAAAAGCACTTCAAGTTCAAGTACCTGGAATGCCAACATTTACCGGACAAACATTGTCTCATTCATAAAAATTCTAACTATTCACTCCTTTTGGTGGAGCTGTGTTCTGGTGAAGTCATGAACCCTCTGCTGGACCACCTGAGCCATTTCACCAATTAGTAATTAATATAAAGGTAAATGGTGGTCCCTTCCAATACCTTCCATGTTACTAGTATGAACCACAATTCTATCCAAGTGACTTTACATTCCAAAAACATTGGGCTTTATCTTTGAGAAAATGGGTTGGAAATTTCTGTATAATTTTAAAATCCATATATATTACTTACAATGTGTTAGATGCCTACTATTTATAAGGCATAGAACTGTTTTGACACTAGAAGTCTCTCTCTGCCTCTGAGCCCGTGAAGGCAGATGAAGATTAATCCATTTGCTTCTCAGAAATAAGCCTAGTGACCATCACGTCTGTATTTCATGATATTTTAATTTCCAAGTAATTTTACGCCAGACCTTAAACCCCAGCTAGAGCCCTTCAACAGCAAACTCATAAGGTCAGGACAAATCCAAGGATTAAAAATATCTTTAGTTAACTTTTAACTTTCTCTAAAAGCGCCTGTCGTCACCAGGGTATCTGGGCATTCCATCATAAGAAAGGTTTATGAGAAAGTAAAATATTCCACTAGCCTCAGGTGCACAGAAAAAACCTGTGCAGAATATGTCCCTGTGTGCTACGCCACTACAGATGACAGGGGACTCAGTTAACCTCTAGAACATCACATGTCATTAAAAATTAAAAGTCCAAAACAGAGTTCACGAGGTGGTGATCCAACACGGTCCTGGGTGGTCCCGGGTCACTCTGGACAGCCTTCAGTGGGCCTGGCTGTGCTCTGGCATGGGTCACTGCATTGCATACTACATGTGTCACCAGTATTTGGGCCAGGGACCAGGCAAGAAATGTAAGTGGGTGACGTGGGCCAGATGAAGAATGGCTAGTCCCTTTAGAACTTGCATCCATGAGATTTCTTTTTATCTCAGCCAACAGAACAGCTGTTAGGCCACTTGGGAGCAGAGAACCTCGACACTACAGAGAACACATGCCAGTCTCACAGGGACCTCGGCTGCCACCGCAGTGCCACATTGTGACAATGCAGGCATGATAACACCAGAGCATCCAATTTTGTAGGCAACATTAGAAATTTGGGCGATGTTAAATTCGATTTGTCAGTGTTGGTGACTAATCCAATTTAAATGCTATGATCAAAAAACACGTCTATAGGGCAAATCTGGCCATGGGCCACCGTCTGTACCCTCCAGCTGGACATGTCCAGGGCCAGACCTTCTCAGGCCACTCCTGATTGTACTCCCACCTACCTACAGGCTTGGAGCAACAGGGCACCTACTCAGTGGCCCACAGGTCACAGGACTTCCCCAGGATCTGGCCACTGACAATGGCTTTAGAGGGTCACCTGAGTGCCTCTCACAAAACTTGTGTGTGACCCTTTCTAGGACACACGGTATTGTCATACCACAGAATGTGTGGTTGTGTGACCCTTTCCAGGACACACGGTGTTGTCATACCACAGAATGTGTGGTTCTCAGATCCAGAGGCAGGACCGCTGTTCATCCTCTAAAATATAAGCAACAAATCATTTCATGGCTGAAAAAGCTGCAGGCTAGAAGAAAAAACCTCACAACAAACATAAAAAATTAAGTCATTAAAGAAGATGAAGCTGGGCACAGTGGCACACTCCTCCTGTAACCCCAGGGACTCAGAAGGCTGAGGAAGGAGGACTGTCACTCCCAAGTCAGCCTGGGCAACTAGTTAACCCCCTTCTCAAAATAACAGATGAAAAGGGCTGGGGTGTAGCTCAGTGGTGGAGGGCCCCTCAAAAAAGGGAAGACAAAGCTTTCCTAAGAACTTTAATTTATGAGCGGAGGAGTCCTTTTGGTGTTTTGTTGCTGCTGTTGGTTGGTTTGGTTTGTTTTTTGTTTATTGACTTGTTTTTGGAATCCAGAATACTAGCTTTTTTAAAAAGGCAGTTGAAAAGCTGAGTGTGGTGGCGCCCATCTGTAATCCCAGCTACTCAGGAGACCAAGGCAGGAGGTCACCTGGGCAACTTAGCAAGACCCTATCTCCAAATAAAATTAAAAGGGTTGGGGATGTAGAGCACTCCTGGGTTCAATCCCTGGTAATCTTAGAAAAATAAATAAATAAAAGAGGCAGTGAGATTAAAAAAAAAACCACCTGATAAACACATTTATTGTACAATTAGGCCCATGCTTAAACTGCAACCCCCACGTTACCTGATGGAGTTCTGAAAAGCTGTCCAGTCTTCTTGAAAAAGGGAGTTGGGAGGAATTTCGTCCAGTTTGCACTTCTTTCGTATCGACTGGAGAGCACTGGTGAAATCAGACACATACCTCGAGGGAAGCGGAAAAATGACAGGTATGTGAATAAACTCCGCCACTCCAAAGACGCCTGCAATTCCACAGCTTTGGACAAATTGCTGATTACCTTGAGAATGTCTGCGAGTGGCTCCCACATGGGAGGAGATCACCAACAAACCTCTGACCACAAAAATGCCTTCCCATTGTGGCAAGACCATCCTAACCACCTGGCAGGGCAGCCTTGAGAGATGCTCAAGATGAAGAGGAAGGCGACAGCCACTAAGTCAACTCCAATGACAATCAGGCAAGAGACGATGCTGGTAAATTCCCCTCATTCTAACAGATGCATGTCTTTGGAAGCAGATTTGAAGAACTATTTTGAAAGCCATGTGTCTACTATAATAACCAAATGTGACGCAGGACACTGCGGGGCAGCTGCAGACATTCAAGGTACTTTTGCAAGCGAATCCCCTGGATTTAGACCCAAGGCCACGGCAGACGACCACACCTCCACAGCAGGCAAGGGCCCGGCTTCATCAGCACAGGATGGTACACGTGAGCTCAAAGCCGGAAGACCCTCCCTCATGGACCGCAGCCTGCTCTCACTGAGTGAACACGCTTCTTTCCTTGCACCCTCCACACTATAATCAAACAACTCAGTTAGTGTGTGTTTGCTCAGTGCGTGTTGCTATGGGGGCCTGTGAGGTCTGTGAGATCAGGGACTATGCCTCTGTAACTCATGATGGGTCCTGAGGAACTAGCACTGGGCAGAGCATAAAGGAGACACTGGAAATAGTTCCTGAATGAATGACAGACTTGCATGGCACTGTTGGACAAGCGCCTCTGGGTCATTGGGCCTCAGTTTCCTCATCCTTAAAGTGGATTTAATGATGTCTTCTGTATCACCTCACACAGTTGTTGTGGTGATAAAATTAAATAAATGACATAATATACATTCTCTGGAAAGAATAAAATGACTGTTGATGCGGAATGGGTGGTGTTTCTAAGGATTTAAATTTCTTGGAACATTAACACATCAGTTCATGTCCTTGGGCGGGTTTGGTGGTGGCAAGGATAAAGTGAGGGTTCTGGCCTTTGGAAACCAAAAAACTTGTGACTTTGGGTACATCGCAAGCAGCTTTCCCTCTCTGCCCTCTAAATCAAAAGCTCTGAGTGAGGGAGGTAGAACATGAAGCCCAGGGCCTGAAGAGTACGTGTGTGCAGTGGAGAGAAAGGCCTTTCAAGGTGCCAATGGAAGGAAGGACCTCAGACCACGACCCCACATGCAAGCCACACTGCTCTCCCTCCACACAGGCTTCGGGCTTTAAAGCAGAAAGCTACAAAACTTGTGTTCCAGGGATGGCACCTTCCCTTCCCATCAAGAGAGGGGACAGCTCCCTGAGGGAATTAGTTGTCAGGGGGCGGGGCCTGGGCCTCAAGGGCAAGTTAGCAGGGCAATGCCCAGGAACACCAGCTTCAGCTGTGGGAGGGTAAACAACTGTGTCACACCCTGCAACTATGACAAGCATGCATTAGGAGAATATGCCATGCACAGTCCCCACGCTCTGCAGAAGTTCCTAACAGTGTCCCGGGGGAAGGTGAGCAGACAGGATATCTCATTGTCCTTCCATCTAGAACTCAAAATGGGTTTATCATGAAATCTCAGATGAAAGGGTAGCCTTTACCACATTATTTTTGTCTTCAAACTCTCCAACTCTCTCTCACTATGCACATTTCCAAATGTCTACACACAGAGTTGCTCTGTTCGGGATTTTAATTACAAGCTTTGCTTAATATCAAAACCACCATGGAAAGAAGGTATTATTATCATCAATTTACTCAGAAGGAAGATATTAAGACTCAGAAAAGACTGGTGACATGCTCAAGATCCTAACTAGTAAGTGCCAGGACCTGAGCCCAGGCTGGTCCCATTCCAGGGCCCTCCCACCCACCACAGCTGCCAAGTCCCTCATTCTGTGGCCAGGACATCGCCTGCTGTATTCTACAGTTTCCCTCTAGTTCAAGCCAGGCCCGCCTGCTCCTCCCTCCCCCTGCGCCCCTAACACCCTCCCAAGCCCGCCTCACCAGTGAACCACGTCCCATCTGAACCCTGCTCGAGTTAGCTTCAACCTGGATTTCCTAGTTGTATAAACTTTAGCTATTTTAGTAAATCTTCCCTCCTAGAGGAGATGACCTGATTTCACCATACAGTTTGAATTTTTAATATGGAAATTATTTTTAAAAACAAAGTAAACAAATAATGAACAGAAGAACTAAAAGCAAAATTGTAAGAAGCAAAAGCTCAGAGAAGCAGGAGTTAGAGCAACAGCCTTAAGAAATCTCAAGGCCTCACCTTTCATGTGGAGACAACATTTAAAGTTTGTTAAATTTTTTTTCCTTAAAGTTTATAGGGAAGAATCAGAAAACTAAAAGCAAAATGTTCAAAACCTAGTTACTCATGAGGTCTAAAAAGTGATTAGGAAAGGAGAAGACTTTCACATTTTTATGTCTTTTCATATTTTAGGGGGAATTATTTCTAAAAGCATCATTTCTGCTATTTCATAATAAAATTCTTAGATCAAAATTAAAAAAATCTTTCAGGGCTAGGGTTGTGGCTCAGTGGTAGAGCATTTGCCTAGCATGAATGAGGCAATGGATTCAATCCCCAACACCACATAAAAAGCTAAAGGAACTCAATAAAGGTCTTGTGTCCATCTACAACTAAAAATATTTTTTAAAAAAATCTTTCCAGGACTGGGGTTGTGGCTCAGTGGTAGAGCACTTGCCTAGCAAGTGTGAGGCCCTGGGTTCGATCCTCAGGACCACATATGAATAAACAAATAAAGTGAAAAATCCATTGGCAACTAAAAAAATTTTAAAAAATCTTTCCATTCACAAAATCCTGATAGTGACACGAAAGAGTTAAAACTTTGATTAAATTTGCTGCTGTTGCTGCTGCTTCTCTTTTTCTGGGAACACATCTGGGCTCATCTGGGCACAGTTCCAGCCTTAATGCCAACACTTGGAGCTGCCCTGTGAAGGTGGTGACAGCTCATGGCAGTGACCAAGCGCTCTGGCTCAACAGCCCTTAGATCTCCCGGGGGGTGAGCTTGGTATTTCTGGAATGACAAGAGCTTTCAAAACTCCCCCATCAAAACTGCTTCAGTTCAATTCGGGGAGTTCTGAGACTCAGGGCAACTTCCTTGTGGAACACGCTGCGAGGGAAGGTCCCTCGGAGAGCATAAGAACGTACTTGTGTATAAACTAAGACTGGAGCCCGTAACTTCCTGAGGACCCTTGCACCTCAATTAAACAGGTCAGAGGATCCAGCCTTATACCGCTTTCTTTTTCTTCTTTCTGACAAAATGTAATTTAACTTTCCCTTTATTTTCCTCTCCTTTGGGAAATAGCGCGTGTGTGTGTGTGTGTGTGTGTGTGTGTGCGCACGCGCGCGCGCGCTTAGGCATGCACACTGAGCTTTGTACATGCAAAGCAAACAGTCTACCACTGAGCCATACCCACAGACCCTTCAGTAACAGCTTTACTGTGATATAACTCACACACCACAGAACTCACCCATTTTAAAGAACACAATCCAACAAGTTTTTAGTGTATTCCCAAAGTTGTAAAACCGCGGCCACACTTTAAACCATTTTCCTCAGCCCAAAAAGAAACCCACACCATTTAGCAACCATCTGCTGTCTTCTCTCAGTTCCCCTGGCCTCAAGAAACCACAAATCTACCTTTTTAAAATCTTATTTACAGACTTGACTACCCCGGGGAATTTCATATAGATGGAAGGACATAATATGGACTTTTGTGATTGGCTTCTGTCACTCAGCATGATGCTTATGTTGCTTATTTTATATTTTTAATTATATTGGAATATGTTTGTGCTCATTGATTTTAAAAAATAAAAAATAACTAAAAAAACTAAATCTTCTATGACTACAGTCTCGGTTTCCCCAGAGATAACCACTGTTTGGCGTGTCTTGCCTAACATGGGGTAAAAGTTCAGCAAACTTTTTCTATTAAGATCCAGATGGTAAATTTGTTGTTGTTGTTTTCTCTACGCTGGGGATTGAATCCTGGACCTTGCACATGCTAGGCATGCCTCTACCACTGGGCTACATCACCAGCTCCCAGACAGGAAATACTTTTGGACTTTTGAGTCACAAGGTCTCTGTCCCAGCTACTCAGCTCTGCCTTCACAGTGGGAAGGAGCCAAATGTCCTAGGCAAGTGAATGGCATGGATGTGTTCCAATAAAACTTTATTTATAAAAACAGATGGCAGAGCAGATTTGATTCATGAGCTGTAGTCTGTCCACTACTATTTGATAGGAATATGAGATACATTTTTAAAGTATTAAAAAAAAAAGGACCAAGGGGGCTGGGGCTGGGGCTCAGTGGTAGAGCGCTAGCCTAGCATGCATGAGGCACCCCATAAAAATAATCAAATAAAATAAAGGCATTCTGTCCATCTACAATCACCAAAAAAAAAAAAAAAAAGGAACTAGGACAGCACTCCTGGTTTTTTGTAAGTAAAGTTTGATTGGAACAAAACCACATCCATTTTTTCTGCATTATTTAAGACTCTGCAGGGCTGGGGATGTGGCTCAGTGGTAGAGCACTTGCCCAGCATATGCAAGGTCCTGAGTTCAATCCCCAGTGCCTCCAAAAAGGACTATGCTGCAAAGGTCTCTATTACAGCAGAGACTGTAAGACCCCAAAAGACTGAAATATTCACTATCTGCTTCTTAGAAAAACTGCAATCTTGCTCTAGAAAATGGACCCTACATTTGTGTTCTTTTTGCATAATATATTAACTTTCTACATGATTCTGCAACTTGCTTTTTTTCACTGAATACTGTTTTGAGACCTGTCCATGTTGATATGTGTAGGTTTAATTCATACTTTGCCACACAGGGTTACCTCGCGAATATACTGCATCTTATCTAGCCACTGCCTAATGGATGGTCATTTAGGTTTCTTCAAATGTTTCGCCTTTACTAATGATGCTTCAATGAACATCCTTAAGAACATCCTCTTGGGCCCAGGTACAAGTGTTTCTCCAGTGTTCACAACAGGGATAAAGAACACATGCATTTTTAATTGGGACAGACAGTGCCTTCCAACATGGCCTACCCTGTTTTAGCTTCCCCAACCTTACTTGGCAAAGAGGGATTTCAGGGCTGTCAGCAGGCCGCAGGTCCCCAAGCCATTGGTAAACCTGGCACATCTGTCAACAGCTGCAGATGCCAGACTGAAGAGCTTGTTCACGGAATGGCTCAGCTCTTGCACACAGTCCATCACTTCCCCGTGCTCCTGGTCAGAGGTGGACAAGGAAGAGCCTCATGAGACTCAAGAATACCATGACAGATAACACGAAGCAGGCAGCTCACCCAGCCCTCTCCTCTCTGGAAAAATCACTTGAGGTTATCGGAAATACTGTCAACCAGGACAGCTCTTCTAGAGCCCGAGCCCCATGGAGAAGGACAGTTGATGTGGCCAGTGATCCCACAGAAATAACTCACGGCAGAAAAGCATGACCAAATGTCTAGGCTGTCCCTACATTTTACATCTCTCCCCTTTTCCTGTGATTATTAAGATAGTACTTCCTCCTCTGGCTCTCAAGCTAGGACTCTAATTCTCCATACCAGTCACTCTAAATAAAAAGGTAGCAGAAGGAAAATGTTTCCCTCAAAAGCATGAAAGTAACTGAAGCAGAAGGAACTTTCTAGGTAAAATGGGGAATAGCAAGAGGCAGCAGATTTTAACTTCTGTAAGATCAGTTCCTAAATGTCAATACACTTCATGCTGGACAACCTCAAGTGACATGAAAACAAAATAATCTTTAAAAGGAGAGGCGCTCGATCCCCTCCCTCCTGCCCACACAGTCCCCTGAAAGCACTGTCCATGGATGTTAAGCTCCTGTGCCATCCACATCATCTTCCATAAACAGAAGTCCCCCTTAAAAATAAGTTACTAGGGGGCTGGGGTCTCAGCTCAGTGGTAGAGCACTTGCCTAGCACATGTGAGGCACTGGGTTCGATCCTCAGCACCACATAAAAATACATAAAATAAAGGTATTGTGTCCATTTACAACTATTAAAAAAAAAGTTACTAAATCAGAATAAGCTTTCCAAAGAACTTAGGCCTCTCATTTTACTAGATCTCTATGAAGGATTTGAAATGGAACACTGGTAGCATATTTGCGGCCTCATTTTACACTTGGATGGCAAGAGCCCGTAAGGATTGAAAGCCATCTCCCCGCTCAGCTCATTCTTTGTATACTTGACCTCACCCCCAACCCTCTGCCAGACTTGGCCGAAAGATCGGTGCACAGAATGCTTCCCAAATGGCCAGTGGTGGCACTGCCACGTTACCAAGGGCACAGCGCTGATCTGGATGAGGAGGTTGCTCTCCTCCATCTCGCCGTACTTCAGCTGGTAGGGTCTATAGGGTCCGTACACGGCATCCACCAGCTCCACGACTTTCACCAGGTTGTGCTCCTCTTTAGGGAATCGGAAATTAAAAACAATAATGAACAAAGGATCTGAATTAATTGCTACAGAGCAACGGGAGAGAGGTACACTACTGGAACTATTCTTGTTTTATCTTCAGGGGTGTCTACTTTTTTGGTTAATCTGCTTTGATCATTCCAGGTAGCTTCTTCAATCTCATTTCAGTAAATATTTGGATACATTTGGGTTTTGTGCATTGTGTGCTGAAAGTTCAATTGAAAGTACAACTAAGACACCCATCCCCTTAATCCTACAACCCTTGGTAGTTGAGGATCCCTTCAGTGAAGACTCAGGGTTAGGTTCTGCTACAGAGAAAGGTTCTGAAGGAAGTCCATCTTACTCTTCCGAGTGTCCTTGGACTTTAGGGAAACAGGAGAGCCCAAGTTCAGTTACATACAAATTTAAAACATGTTTGTATCCAAAATGTACATGTGCTTATTCTACAGTGCAGCAATTCAACTTCTAAGGATTACACCCAAGAAGCAAACAATAGTGCAGGAACACAGTGCACAAGCACGAACACTCTGCCAGGACAGGGCTGTGGAAGCCATCTGAAGACGATGAGGAAGTGCAGCAGCCTGCTGACTGACTCCTCACAATCTCTGCTCCCCTCCACCTGTCCTCCACACCGAAGGCAGAACACTCCCCAACAGAAGCCTGGCCACATCTCTGCCCCACTCGCCTCTTCCCAAAGATCTCTACTGCTCTTCAGCTGCAAAGCCTGACCTCAGGAAGTGGAAGATGGTGGCAATTAGGAGTGAAGGCCCTGGTTATGCATTCAGATGCCCTTTTCCCTCAATGACAAAATGAGGGAACTGATGCCAACAATCTTAAAAGGCTTTTGTTGAGTAGATAAAATGTGCCACATGCCACATCTTTAATATTAATTCTATAGCCACCTCCTCCTTCACTCTTCCCCTGGCTTCCAGCCTCATAGGAACTTCTGGTCCCAAGCTGAGCCTCCTGTGTGGAAGGACCCTCTGCTTCCCTACCTCTTTTCATCAGCTAATTCCTTCAATACTCAACCAGCTTGATTCTGTTGGACTCAATTATCTTTCTTTGTTTATAAATGCTTAGGACCACCTGTTTTCTTGATAGTGCTCATCTCACTTTGTAATCATACATCCGTCAAGTGTGACGACCTGATTCTCTCCCACTGCATACTCTAGGGACGGTGTCTGCTTTTGTTCATCTTTGCATCCTCAGCTTCTAAACTTCAGTACAGTCCTCTGGTGTTTGAATGAGTAAGTTAAAAATATGTTGACCTATCCAGAATGTGGTCATGAAAAATAATTACATATACATTTGTGTATGTGTGTATCCTGATTGGGAACCAGGATTCTCACTGCAGGAAATGGGAGATGTAAGTGGGCTTGAAAAAGCAAAAAGTAAAAATTTTATAGCATTAAATCTGACTGGGAAATATCAGTATAAATTGCCAATTTTTAAAAAATATGTATTTCCTAGCTCTGTCCACCAAAAGAGCCTAGAAGTAATGATACCTCAGCAACAATGAACAGCCATGGTGTTCAGACTCTCATTTCTAAATACCAATTTTCAACAGAAGAAACTAGTCTCCCTGGAAAAACAGCTGACTCCAGGTGAGGGGTAAAGGAAAGCACAGGTGCTTCTGGAATAGTCTGTGCCAAAAAGCAAGGAAGCATTCAAAGACTGATTAGAGACATGCCAAAAAGGTATGAGAGTCAGCTGAATGGGGACCCACAGTACAAAAATGAAATAATTTGGACATCAAAATGATTGGTAACAATGAGGGGGCTGGGGATATAGCTCAGGTGGAAAAGTGCTTGCCTCAAATGCACAAGGCCCTGGGTTCAATCCCCAGTATTGCAAAAAAAAAAAAAAAAAAAAAAGGTAACAAATCATAACACACTGGATTTTTTAAAATCCATGAATTTTTGTCCATCAAGTGGGCTTCTTTGTAAGTATTAAAAAAATAATAAAATATTTTTTAAAATCCATGAATTTATAGTGACATCAAAGAGGCAGAAAGGGGGGCTGGGTGTGGCTCAGTGGTAGAGTGCTTTCCTAGCATGCATGAGGCACTGGGTTCGATCCTCAGCACCACATAAATGTAAAATAAAGACATTGTGTCCACCTAAAAAAACTTAAATAATAAATATTTTTAAAAAAAGAGTCAGAAAGGGAAATTCTTCTTCATAAGAGAATGCCAGCAGATAATTGTAGAATGAATGATATAATTACGAAATCACTATTTTACAATCAGCACTGTAAGAATTCATTAAGGCAAGGCTCATCGATGGGTGCTGATATCACTGGGCAATTGTTTCTTGGGGAATGGCATATTCCTATGAGCTCACAGTATCACCCCACAAATTACCTAATAATTACAAAGAGGAAAAGGTAACGACAATGGGGAGATCTGGAGGATACATTTACAGTGTGATTAATCTAACCTGTCACCGGCAATTCGATATTATGTGTTTCCCGAGGTGATGCAATGGGAAGTCACATCAGCATCAATGCAACAGTTTTGCTAAAAATGTTTGAGATAAATCTACTAATAAAAGCCTGGAATGTGGGGCATTCCATAAGAAAACGACTTTTTCTTCTTCAAAAACGTCCATGTCATGAAAAACAAAAGAAAAATGAAATGACTGTTGTAGATTAAAAGAGATTTTAATCTACAGAAACAGGACAATCGAGGCAATGTATGTTCGTGAACCAGAGGTCAGTGCGAGGCAGAGGTGGGGAAGCCGCTATGCAGACACCTGTGGAACTGGGGAAACCCGAGCACCCACTGCACGTTAGCTGACAATATGAAATCAAAATTAAGTTCTTGGGTGTGATAATATTCTACTGAAACCAAATTTAAGAATATAAACATATGGATACTCATACACAAAATCTGCACATATACATAATCCCAAAATGCTGTTTTAGAAGGCAGGTTGAGGATGATTTTTTTCCCCTTCCTTGTATTTTCAGGATTTATCTATAATAAATACACATTGCTTGTTAACTATAAAATCAACTTAAGTTACATTTTAAAAATTTGCTTTCTTTTCCATAATCTTTTATATTTTAAATTATATCATGTATGGGTATTTGTTAGTAAAATAACAGAAACATGTTAAAGGTAAAATAAAAGTTAGAAAATATATCAGAAATATATTTGATAAACAACAGGAAAAAGTCCACTACATAAGAATCTTTTAGGAGTATGTCAAAATTTTAAACATGGTTACTTCTAGCAAATAGGAATATAGGAGACTATGTAACATATATTTTTGTTGCTTTTTACAAACATATTTAATAACACTATTTTAAATAAATTACTCTAAGATATTAACAAGAAATAGATTAAAACTCCAAGCAGAACAGGCAAATAAGCAACCAAAAAAGAAAAAGAGATCATTTTTATAATATAATTTTCAAACTTGCTAATGCTGAAGTAAATTAAAATGATATATTATTAACTGTATAAGAATCTGACAACGATGGAAGAGGCAGGAACAACCTGGTGCCTTTATTCACTATTATACAAAAATTGGCAGAAACTTTCTAATGAGCAAAGTAGGAAAAACATCTTTCAATTTTTCCACTTCTTCATGACTACAATTTAAAATTTATCCTAAGGACCAATCAGAATTAGGTTTAAACATTAATGGGTAATACAGTTCATAACAGTTGTACTTATAATAGTGGCTAAAAAATTATAAGCCACCGCCAGGTGCGGTGGTACACGCCTGTGATCCCAGTAACTCGGGGGGTTGAGACAGGAGGATCATAAGTTCAAGGCCAGCTTCAACAACTTAGTGAGACCCTGCCTCAGAAGAAAACATTTAAAAAGGGTTGGGGATATAGTTCAGTGGTAAAGTACAGATGGGTCCAATCCCCTGTACAAAAAAAGATTAATTTAAAAAACAATTAAATATAATTGTTTATAATTAAATATATAATTTTTTAAAAATTTAAAAATATGTGTGTGTGTGTGTGTGTGTGTGTGTGTGTGTGTATAATAAAGGTATTGTGTCCATCCACAACTAAAAAAATATAGATTAAAAAAAACAGGTCTTGGGGCTGGGGTAGTGGCTCAGCAGTAGAGCGCTCGCCTAGCACGTGCGAGGCCCTGGGTTCGATCCTCAGCACCACATAAAAATCAACAAATAAAATAAATGTATAAAAAAATTTAAAAAAAAAAAAAAAACAGGTCTTGGGCTGGGGCAGTTGGTAGAGTGCTTGCCTCACATGTACAAGGCCCTGAGTTCAATGCCCAGCACCATAAAAATACATAGCACAAGCTAAATATTTTTATTAATGCTTAAAACAACCTGCATTTACATTTGAATTACTGGGAAGAAATGCAATGCTGTCAGTGACTCCGAGTGATGAAGCTATGGGTCACTTTTAGCATCTCTTTTATTTTTTGTGTTTCCAAAGTATTTTTCAATTAAAAGTAAAACAAAACATTATTTTGAAACCTTCCACAGCCACTGTCAGAAATCTGCACTCCCATGGCCGATGACAAAGCACTCCTCTATCTGACTCTGCAGAGGGTGGTTCTCCTCGCTTGGAAAGTCCATGGCTGTGGGCGGAATGCAACCTGTCCCCTGCCCTGCCTTCGTCCCACTCTGCTCCAGCAGGATCCACGGCCTGCACACTCTGTAGCCACCTGCCAGGGCAGCGTGGTCCTCTGGAAGCCACCCACATCCACCGTGCCTCTCCCACACCTAAGGCGAGTGTGCCAAAAACACCTGTGACTCATCAGGAACCTGAACAACAAACACACTCCCTGGAATGTCCAGGCAATTAAGCACAAATGTCATTAAAGAGAATAACTATTAAATAAACGCAGTGAGTGACACACAGCAGCCACATGGCAGAACAAGGCCTTCCTCAAGCAACTTCCTGATTTGACAGCAGCATGTGTCACGAGGTCTATGATATCTAAAAATTTACGATGGTTTTAACACAGACGGAAAACAGCTGGGAAAACGCACCATCCCATGCATCACCCCCCCAAAGGGAATGAGGAGTGAGTGCTTTTCTCTCAGCCACCAGGAGAGCCCTTTTCCACACAGCTACCCGTAGTCCTAACACAGCTCCGCTGTCACGACAAACCTGCTGTTTCCCCTTCAGAAGCCCCTACAACCTAAGTGTCCCCTCAAACTTACTTTAGAGGTTGAACTAAGGTTTCGTGACTCGAAATGAAGAGAACACTATCCTCCCAGGAAGCCTGTTGCCAGCTCCTGCCACCTGCGTCTTCCTGCCTCTTTCACATGCTAAGCCACAGCAGAAGGTCCCTCAGTCCCCAGAGCCGAGAAAGCACTAGACAATACCCGGGATACTAGACAAGTATATTACAGCCACTTCCCTAAGGGCAGTTTCCATGGACAGCCTTCCATTTGTGTTGGAATCCTCCCCTTTCTGCACAGTCCCCTGAAAAAGAAACAAACCCAGGCCCCAGAAGCTGCAAAACAGCAAGTAAAGACAAGTCGGAGAAGGGAGGAAGGAATGCCTACGTAGGTGGGGGAGCAGTGCCACCTCCAACCCCTTGGCAAAGTGGGCGGTGGTGTCGTAGAACTCCAGCAGTTTGGTGAGCTCCAGCTCGGGTCCCGCCCTCTCCACGCCAGCGCTGAGGCACATAGGCAGGGAGGGCACCAAGGCCCCCAGGGTCTGGATCAGCAGCACTGTCACAACCTCGTGAGGGTTCTTGAAAACCTGCAGTGGGAAACAGGCAGCTGTGTCAGCTCGCGCCACCAACAGGACAGAGTTCTTAAAGAAGCTGTTTTCTGGATCACTCAAAGAAATCCCCTTAATAGGTAAAAAGTGACTAGTCAAGAGCTACAAGCCCAAAGGTCCCCTCACGGCAGAGTGAACGTGCTCAGAAAGCACAGCAAATCTGCAGGACCTGGAAGGTGTCTGGAATGATGGACAATGTCCTGTCCTGTCTACTGCTGCCACCCCCAACCCCCAACCAGTGCCTTCCTATTTACAAATTTACTAAATGTTTTCCTGCGGTGTTTAGATGGTACCAGAAACTGACTGGAGGGAGGGCTATGAAGGTGCCAAAGGAGAAATGGCTTTGGGGCAGGGGTGGGGGCACCAATGAAAGAAAAGCAATTCACTGAATCACAACTGGAAGGATCTTTATGCAGACTCAGTCTGGCTGCAGCCTCTCCTTGACACTGATCTTGATGGATTCTCTTAAGGACCACACAGAAGAGTGTACCTAGACCCGTTAAAATTATTCATTGATAGTCTTTTCTCTCTCATTATATGTACTTTAGATTTCTTGGGAAATTTTTGAATAATGTACATAGTTCACTTAGAAGGGGGTTCTGTCTACACCACCAGGGTTGGTTAAGTACTTTTTTGTTAAAACATAACCTAGATATGTACAAACATGAGATGATACAAGAACTTTTTTTTAGGCAAATCCAAGGCCAAAAAAGTACAAATTTAAAACTATAAACCCAAAAGAATTCAAAATTTCACTACAAAATACTCTGAGATAAATGAAAATGAAAAGAACAAAACAAAACTTACAGGATGCAGCAAAAGCAATACTAAGAGGCCTGCAGAGCTGCAGGTGTGTATGATTAGAAAAAGAAAAATTTCACATGCACGACCTAAGCGCACACATTAAAGAACTAGGGGGAAAAAGATCAAATTAAACCCAAAGTTAGCAGAAGGAAATAATATGTATTAAAGTAGAGATAAATAAGAGGATAGAAAATCAACAAAAGTAAAGTCTATTACACCAGAAATTGCAGGGTGTTTTTGCAAAGATTAATTAAAAAAAAAAAAACTGCTTTTACCTGGACTGATTAAGAAAAAAAGAGAAAGAATTTAAATTACTAAAATCAGATATAAAATTAAGGCATTGTACCAATTTTACAGAAATAAAAATGATTATAAGAGAATTCTGTGAACAACTGTATGCCAACAAACTGAATGAAATGGACATATTCCTAGAATACGAATAGAACACAACCCACCAAAACTGGCTCAGGAAGAGAAAACTGGAATCCTCCTCTACCTATAGTAAGGACATTGAATCAATAATCAAAACCTCCCCTCAAAAAAAGATCAGGATCAGATGACTTCACTGGTGACTTCTACAAAATATACAAGAAGAATTAAGGCCAACCCTTCTAAAACACTTGGAATAAAGCTGAAGAAGAGAGAATATGCTATGGACTGAACTGTGTTCCCCTGAAATTTGTACGAGAAGTCCCAATCCCAATACCTTGAATTTGACTATATTTGCAGACAAGACCTTTAAAAAGGTAGCAAAGGGGAGCTGGGGCTGGGGCTCAGTGGTAGAGTGGGCACCTAGCACATGTGAGGCACTGAGTTCAAACCTCAGCACCACATAAAAATGAAATCAAGATATTATGTTCAGGGCTGGGGATGTGGCTCAAGCGGTAGCACGCCACCTGGCATGTGTGTGGCTCGGGTTCGATCCTCAGCACCACATACAAACAAAGATGTTGTGTCCGCCAAAAACTGAAAAATAACAATCCTTATCTTGGACTCCAAGACTTTAAGAATTTTGAGGAGATTAATTTCTGTTGCTTAAACTTGCCAGTCCAAGATACTCCCTTACAACTAATACAGAACACTTCCTAACTCATTCTGTGTGGTCAGCATCATCCCAATATGAAAAGCAGATAGAAACTGTTGGGAAAACATATAACGGCAGCAGCACCCCAGAGAAAAACCCCAACATGGCGCCTAATGACCCTCTTTCTCCTCTTTTTTTTCTTTCACTGGGGTGAAACGTTCCCGCCGGCACCAATGTTCAAATCCTGCGGGTGGGAAACCTTAGCTCCAATAAGAATTAACTTCTTGGGCTCTGGAACTGACATATGGAAGAGCTTGCCAATAAACGGGCGACCCGTTATCTACCTCAGCCCTGCTACCTCTCCTTAGACCTATATAAACCCACAGCCTTTTGTAATAAAGCGGAACCTCTCCGGTGATCTGTGTCGTGTGGTGTCTCCCATTCGTAGCGCGGTGTGGCGTCTTACAGAAACACTGCAAGAAAACCACAGACCAATATCCCTTGTAAATGTATAAGCAAAAATCCTCAACAAAGTACTAGAAACTGAATTCAGCAGCACATCAAAAGGAGTATGCACCGTCATGAAGTGAGATTTACTCCTGGAATGCAAGAACAGTTCAATGTATAAAAATTAATCAATTTAATATATCATGCCAACAGAATGAGGGGGAAATACATATGACCACCTCAATTAATGCAGAAAATCCATTTAACAAAATACCCTTTCATGACAAAACATACAACAAACTAGGGATAGAAGGAAACTTCTTCCAGATGCTAGGGCAATAGGTGAAAACCCAGCTCACATCAGACTCAATGGTGAAAGACTGAAAGCTTTTCCTTCTAAGTTCAGGAACAAGTCAAAGAAGCCTGCTTTTGCCACTCTATCCAACATAGTACTGGAAATTCTTGCCAGAGCAACTGGAAAAGAACAAGAACAAGAAATAAAAGGTGTCCAAATTGAAAACAGAGTGATCTCTGTTTACAGATGACATGGTTTATGTGTAGAAAATCCAAAATAATCCACAAAATACTGTTAAGAGTTAAAATTCAGCTATGTTGCAGGTAATAATATCAACACACAAAATCAGTTGTCTGTCAACACACTAACAATGAACAATCTGAAAAGGAAATTAATAAAAACAAGTCAATTTGCAATAGCATCAAAAAGAACCAAGTATTTAGGAATAAACTTAACCAAAAAGCTGAACAACTATACACTGAAAACTACAAAACAGCAAAAAATGAAAGAAGACAAATAAGTGAAGACATGCCATGTTCATGAATCTGAAGACTTAGTGTTCTTAAGATGTCAACACAACCCAAAGCCACCTTCAGATGGAATGCAAGCACTGATCAAAACATCAATAGTATTTTTTTTTTGAGGAATAGAAAAATCCATTCAAAAATTCATTTGAATGCATGGGTTGGATTAATGTAGGCTTGTCCCTGGGGCCTCTCATAGTGTCCCATGCTAGAGCAAACTATGCCCCCAAACCGTTGCCTGGCCTCTGTGTCCACAGGCTGCTGGCACTGAAGTGGGTTGCACAGTGCATAGAAGGAACAACCACAAAAACAACTCATCTGGAAGCTCAAGGTACCCCAAATAATCAAGATCGTCTTGAAAAAGGAGAGCAAAGTCAAAAGACTCGCCCTGTTTGGCTTCATGAAGAAAGGGGAATGTTATGGTCTGAACTGTGTTCCCCTAAAATTTATAAGTAAAGTCCTAATCCCAATACCTCAAGTGTGGCTGAAAACTTCTTCAAAAGTATAATGATAGCATAAGGACAGACACACAGACCAGTGGAATAGAACAGAAAGCCCAGAAGCAAACCCAGACATCTAAGACCAATTGATTTAAACCTGGGTGCCAAGGCCATTTCATAGGAAAAGCACAATCATAGCAACAAATGGTTCTCAGAAAACTGGATGTCCGTATGCAAAAGTACAAGGTAGGCCCCGGATCTTACACTGTGTAAAAAGTTAACCTGAGAAGGATTAAAGATCCTTAGCAACTGGTTATGGGATGGCCATGCCCATGGTCCAAAATATGTATATATTTTTTTAATTCTCAGAGAATTTACAAAACTGCAAAGAACATTTGTTTCCCTTGATACATCCTACATTAGACTCCACATAGTGCCACCCTGCTAGAGTCTGGGACAAAGAAATAGGGGGAAAGAAACAATCAAATCCAATAAATTATAAAATGACCAACTTGTGGCAGATGCTCCAATCTGTATTTCCTGAGGCAGTCATCCAGCCATCTACTGGAAGTCACGGTTAGACTGACACTTGGGAACTTAAAAGCACCCAAAATTAGAATCCATCATGTCCCCACTGAACTCCACAGGTGTTCCCTTCAACTTCCTACTTCTGTCAATAATGTCTCCACTCACCAGGATGAAAATCTCCCTTTTGACTTTCCTTTCTTTGAATCCCTTTACTGGTTACTAACAATTGTTTCAACGACTGTTCCTTCTTCAACTTGAACAGCACCAGCATCATCCCTACCAGGCAAAGGCTCTGTCTGTCTCCCAACTCTCCTTAGCAATTCACCCTATGTATCACCACCAAATTCTTTTTTTGTGGGGTGGGGGTAGGGGTGGGGGGCAGTACCAGGGATTGAACTCAGGGGCACTCGACCACTGAGCCCCATGCCCAGCCCTATTTGGTATTTTATTTAGAGACAGGGTCTCACTGAGCTGCTTAGTGCCTCACTGTTGCTGAGGCTGGCTCTGAACTCTCGATTCTCCTGACTCAGGCTCCTGAGCCACTGGGATTATAGGCGTGCTCCACCACGCCCAGGTCCACCAAATTCTTATTTTAAATTTACTTTAAAAGTTCTCTTATATTTTATATTTTTAAATATTGCGAGATTTGCCCATTATTCATAGTTTGGTATTGTTACTCTTTTTTATTGTAGCTATTCTGGTGGGTGTGTGCAGCAGTATCCCACTGTCGTTTTAATTTGCATTTCCCTGATGACTAAGGGCACTGAGCACCTATTTGTGGGCTTACTGGCCATTCATATATCTTCCTTTGTGAAGTGTCTATTCAAGTCTTTTGCCCATTTAAAAAACTGGGTTTTTGTTTTTTTTTTTTTTTGCCTTTTTGTTTTTTAATTGTAGGAGTACTTTATATATTCTGGATATAAGTCTTTGTCAGATATATTTGTAGATGTTTTCTTCTAGTCTATGACTTAAGCAGAGGTTCTAATTTTGATGAAACTTAATTCATCAGGTTTGGTTTGTTCTGGTCTGGTTTTTGCAGTGCTGGGGATCCAACCCAGGGCCTCACACATGCTACGCAAATGCCCTACCACTTAGCTACACCTCCAGCCCAGTTTTTCCATGTCTAGTTACTATTTTCTACAGCTAAGGGTCATCACTGAGCCCCCAAGTTCCAAGTCTGAAAACTTCTGTTGTTCTTTCGAAATGGCCACAGAATCTTTTTTGTCCAGTTACTTTAAAAAAGGGGAAACCTCTAAACATAAGGGGTTTAGGGGTCTTAACTGAAACATGCATTTTTTTAAAAATGCCACTAGAGGTCTAGAACATGACTTCACATATCGACCAACCAATGAGAACTCTCTGGAATACAACCATAGTCTAACTTCGCCCCCACCCCCAAGTCATTTAAGTTAAACCAGTCTTATCAACTTGGGCCACAGAAAGATAGTCCAGAGCTGCATTCACTACACACAAAAGCTAATTCAGGATGGACCACAGATCTAAACGTTAAAAGCTAAACAAACTCCTAGAAGAAAACATGGAAGAATATCCTTGAAACTTGAGGACTAGCAATGACTTCTTAGGATACAGAAAGCAACAACCATAAAAGAAAAAACAAAATGATAGGCTTCATCAAAATTGAAACTTCTCCTCAGGGCTGGGATGTAGTTTGGTGATGGAGTGCTTGCACAGTGCCTGCCCAGCACCTGCAAGGGCCTGAGTTTGATCCCCAGCATTGCAAAAAAGTTAAAAAATTAAAAATAAAACCTCTTTCAAGCCACAGACTGGAAGAAAATGTGCAAATGTCTACGAACATATCTGACAAAGGACTTATGCCCAGAATACATAAAGAACTCCTACAACTAAATAATAAAAAGGCAAACAACCCAATGTTTCACATGGGCAAAGGACTTGAATAGACACTTCACAAAGGAAGACATCCAAATGGCCATGAAGCACATGAATAGGTGCTTAGTGCCCTTAGTCATCAGGGAAATGCAAATTAAAACCACAATAGAACACTACTGCACACCCAGCAGAATGGCTAAAATTAAGAAGACCGACAACACCTCGTGTTAGCAAGCACAGGAAGCAATCAGAACTCTCACACTGTGTGGGAGTGCAATAAGGACGACTACTTTAGAAAAAGGCCTGGCAGTTTCCTATAAATCCAAATATACACCTGCCCTATGATCTCAGAATTCCACTCCTAGGTGTTTACTCAGGAGATATGAAGACATGTGTCTTAAAAAAAACACTTATAGAACAATGTTCATAGCAGCTTTATTCATAATGGTCCCAAACTAGAATGAGATCAAGTAGATCAAGTGTCCATCAATAAGAAAATGTGCAAACAAAACGATGTCTCAGTGGTAGAGCTCTTGCCTAGCATGTGTGAGGCACTGGGTTCAATTCTCAGCACTGCATATGAATAAATGAATAAAATAAAGGTTCATCAACATCTAAAAAAATTTTTTTAAATGATGTCTATTCACATCATGTAACAGAATTCAGCAATAAAAGGGAACAAACTAGCAATACATACAAATTAGTAAGTCTCAAAAACCCACCAGATGAAAGAAACCTTGCCACAACAATAAAGATGCCTTGCCACAGAGTGTCTTCCATCTGTGTGAAATCCCACAGCAGGCTAAATTAATTTATGTGGGGGGAACATCAGAGCAATAGCTGCCCGGGAAGAAGTGTGAGAGAACTTTCTAGGTGGATGGTAATGATTCGTGTCTAGAAAGAGGATAAGGTCACATCTATTTGCATTTGTTTGAATTAATCAAATGGTATATTTAAGATCACTGCATTTCATAATTTTACTTCAAAAAAAATACTTGAACTCTAGTTAATAATACACACACACACACACACACACACATATATATATATACATATACGTGTTCTTAAATGAATGTTATATCCCAACTTGTTTTGAAATGAATCAAAAAATAAGGTTTGATGAGTAGATAGACGATGGATAGAAGGATAAATCTGTGACAAAGCAAACAGCAAAATGTTCACTGTCCAGCTGTGAGGTAGGTACACGGGTATTCACTGTAGAATTATTTCAGCCTTTTTATATGTTGGGTATTTTTCATACTAAATACTGGGGGAGGGCCAGGGGTGTAGTTCAGTTAGAACACCTGCTTAGTATGTGCAAGGCCCTCGTTTGATCCCCAGCAACAGGCAGGAAAAGGTTCATTTAAAACCTAGGGGAGGGCTAGAGATATGGCTCAAACGGTAGTGCGCTCCTCTGGCATGCACGAGGTCCTGGGTTCGATCCTCAGCACCACATACAAATAAAATAAAGATTTGTGTCCACCGAAAACTAAATAAATATTAAAAAAAGAAAAAAAGAAAAAAGAAAACCTAGGGGAACAGAAATGTGGAGGAGACACACCTACAGAACCTGCGGCCCTTGGCCTCACCTGCACTCTGCTGAGCTGCTGGAGATGAAAGCCCACCTGACATGCTCACATCCCGTCAAGAAAACAGGCCACGGCCAAAGGTATAAATAAGCATAAACTTATGCCTTCAAAACCAACAGTGAGGACCAAGCAGAAGTCTGAGAAGCCCCAGTTCTTTCTCCTAGATGATTCTCAGACGAGGAAGGGCATTTGTATGTACAGGCAAGAGCCGTTTTTCTCCTGTGGTTTGAGAAGTGGTAGAAGAGGCCTGGGCGGTAAACGGGTGTGAGCATATAGGCCTGCTGAAAACTCATGATCTGAGGTTCTTTTTCTCCTTAAAAAATCACGCAAACAAAACCTACCGAAGTTTGAATTAGGTTAGTTCAAGGAAGAAGAAGCCAGGATGGAGAAAGGGGCTTTAGCCATCCTCAACGCCATGACCCTGTGCAGGGAATCTCTCGGGTACATTTGAGTTTATTCCACCAAATGACTGATGAACATCTAAAGAGCAATCCACAACTAATGACGAGAAAAATAATAAGCCACACCACCAATAAGCCCAAGTACTCGGGCTGCTCCCCTTCTACAAGAGGGTCTGCTGCCCTCCTGGCCTGCGGATGAACCAGTGACGCTCCATTCCCCTCCGTCTGGAAACGCCTAGAGACCTGGGGAGGGTAAGGGATGGGAAGTTTCCTCCTGAACCCTCTGCTTCATTGCCCCTGCTCAGAGGGTGCCCTCAACACTATACTCTTCCTCTAACTCTTGATGAGAGAAGGGAAAGTGACTGCAGGCCAGGTAAGCTTTACCTGAGGTTGAGATATGAACAGCCGGTTCCCCACCACCGCCTGACTAGGGGCCTCCTGCCTTCAGATGTGAAGATAACGGCTTCCAGGAATTCCAAAGGCTCCCTAGCTGAACCACAGGCAGCACTGTCACATTAGATTCCACTTAAGATACGGATAAGAGTGATAAGAAGAGCTTTAATGGAAACCTAAGGACTTCACTGCCCTGGGTTTCCAAGCCTGTCTTTTAACCCCTTGGTGATGGTGACAGATGGGGACGTTTCCCGTGGGGCTCTGCAGCTGAGAGCAGGTGCTCCCAGCCGGTTACCCATTCCCCTAAAAACCACGTAAGCTGTTACCTGCGTGGCCCACTGGATTTGCGTGTGCCAAGCAGCGAGCAAGGCGTCATAGAGGCCGGTGAGCTGGCGGTCCAGGGGCAGGTCACTCTGGCACAGCTCTTGCCAGGCTGCCAAAAGCTGCACCTGCAGAGGCACAACAGAGAGGACCTTGCTGGGAGCACTGAATAAGTGGCCTGCTCCAACTGCCCTTCCCTTCCACCACCCCAGTGAGCACTGCTGCCTGCTGTCCCGAGCCAAGTGCCCGCTGAATCCATTCACTTTTTTTTTCCTAAAAAGGCAGAAAACAAAAACAGTAATCTCCTGTAATAATCATCCAAACCTTGAATGTGTCACCTCCAAGTACCTCTCTCCTTTTACCCTGCCCCAAAGACACGCCAGGATGCTCCACCCAGTGTGCTGCGCTCTTCAGAAGAGACCTTAGAGGTGGCTGTGAGTTGGTGCTAAAGCTTCATGTCCACTCCTTACTGCTTCAGGACACAGGGGCTTGAAGGACTGGGCTTCAAGGACTGGAGGTCAGCCCAGGAAGCTGCTGTGTTTTGGTAACCGAACTTCATCAACCCCACAAAACTTTAAAAAGTCTTACAGTTTGCTGAAAGGCACAATAAAGCTTATGACATGAATCTCCCTTAAGATACAAAAATGGGAATAAATTAAAACAATTTTTCAAGTCTGTTTGAATCCATCTAAATGAATCCAGCTGTAAATACAAAAGAGGATGAAAACTGATGAAATGTTTTCCAACTGGCAATTAGATGTGCCCATACGCTGGACCAAGAGTGCCCCCTACTGGTTAACGAGAAGAAAAACAGCCCTTAAGTCAAACTGCTGTTGCCAGAGCTATGAGCACTCCACAATTGTAATGGTTTGCAGCTTCTTACCTTGTGACACTTGTAATAGTATGCAAGGAGCTGGGGCATCCGGTCAATTTCAGTAAAAACCTTCACAAATATTTTGGACTGATCTAAAGAACAACATAAAACACATATAAGACTGTTACCAGGTTTTCTGGTATAGCCAAGAGAAATAATTCACTAGGTTAAATTTCATAGGTTCTAGGGCTGGGATTATAGTTCAGTGGTTGAGCGCCTGCCTAGCACGTGTGAGGCACTGGGTTTGATCCTCAGCACCACATAAAAATAGAATAAATAAAATAAAAGTATTTTTAAAATGTGGCTCTATGTAACTAGTATTCAGAAGTTCCTAACTAGATAACGAATTAACTCATGCATGGGGATCATAAATATGAAAAAGAAGTAATGTTAGGAGCAGAGTATGTTACCCAATAATCAGACACCACAAGCTCTGCTTGTTAAAGTCAACAAGCATCCCTGACAAGCATCACAAATAAAGCTGACATTACACATCAGCAAATCAATCAGCACATCTGAACAGTAAAATGAACCAGAATCAGGGTTGGCACTGGGCTGGGGGGCAAGCCTGGGGTATGAAATTTAAAGAAGCTATCACTCTCAGGGTTGTGCAAGCACACAACCACTTGCCTCACCTAGTCCTGGCCCTGATTTGAATCACAAACTGTTAGCGACAAGTACCTAAAATAACTGATAATTGACCTCATTTTGTAGGCAAGAAAACTGCAGCACAGAGAGTTTTAGTGACTTGCAGGACTGCAAACTATAGCAGAGATTGAAGTGCTGGCGCCCAATGTCCTGGCCTACAAAAGCAGCGATTTCATCTGACGTGTCAATCCAGTATTTATATGAACTGAAAAACACTGAGACAAGCAGGCCGTCTGTCAGGTGCCAAGAACAAACCTAGCTCTTAACTGCCTCAGGGTCTCTGTACTTACTGTATCTAAGACGATCTTCTGGTTTCTCCTCAGCCAACCTAGACTAGGTTCCTCCTGCAGTCCTGTCATGCCTTCCCTTCACAGAAATAATCTCAGTCTACATTGTTTTATTTATTACTTATATAATATCTGTCTTTCTCAACCATGAACACAAGCTCCAAGGAAAGCTGTAACATTTCCTATCTTGTTTCACTGTCCCCAGAATTAGCACCACACACAGCAGACACTCAATAACTGCACTAAGGTGAAGTCTGTTGAAATAGCATTGTTTTTCAGCATTATCAGAAACATGTTCATGGAAGAAAAAGTGGAAAAAAGAATAAGAAGAAAAATCTACTGATAATACCGTCACACTCTGACATACTAACGTTTAGATGGACATTTAAACAACACTGCTACAATGTGTGCCTTATCTTAAGGTATAATCACAACTTTCAAAATACCTACCCTATAGAGTAGAATTTCTTTAAATGAATAATAAAGCAGAATTTGCCAAAACAGCAAATGGCACATGCAGAAGTTATATCAAGATAGAGAAGATCAATAAGGAAACAGGAATTCAACCACAATCTAAACCAATTAGACCCGAGAGCCACAAACAGCAAAATATGTTCTTCCCAGTAAACAGGGAATATTCTCCAGGACAGACCATAAGTTAGACCATAAAATAAGTGCTAATAAATTTTAAAAGATGGAAATCATACAGCATCTTTTCTCATCACAACAGAAATAAACTAGAGATCAACAATAGAGAGAGAATTAGAAAATTAAAAATATGTGAAAATTAAACAACAAGCTTTTAAACAGCAATTAAGTTAAAGAAGAAATTCTGAGGAAAATTAGAAAATGCTTTTAGACAAATGGAAATGAAAACACAATATACCAAATTTATGGGATGCAGTGAAAGCAACTAAGCAAAGTAATTCATAGCTATAAACACATCCAAAAAGACCCCAGCTGGGATGTAGCTCAACGGTAAAGCACTTGCCCAGCATGCACAGGCCCTGGGTTCCACTCCCAGCACCACAAAATAATAATAATAATGATAATAATAATAACAACAACCTAACTCTAAATCTTAAGAAGAAACAAGATAAACTAAAACCAAAGACAGCAAAAGGAAAGAAAAAATAAAGATTAAAGCAGAGATAAATAAAATAGAGAATAAGAAAATAAAGAGAAAAATCAATGATTCTTTGAAAAGGAATCTTTGACAAATCTTTACTTAGATTCACTATGAAAAAGAGAAAGGACTTAAGACAACTAAAACCAGAAGTGAAAGAGAAAGCATTACTACCATTGCCACAGAAATAAAAAGGATCACACTGAGTACTTTAAATAATTATATATCAACACACTGAATAGCCTAGATAAAATGGATGATTCTTAAAAAAAATAAACTTTATAGAAATAGAAAAACTCTGAATAGACTTACAACTAATAAGAAGACTGAATCAGTGATCAGAAATCTCTTGAAAACAAAAAGCTCAGGACTGGATGGTTTTCTTGGTGAATTCTTTTATACATTTAAAGAAGAATTAACACCAATTTTTTCAAGTTCTTCCAAAAAAATTACAGAGGAACACTTCCTAATTTATTTTATGAGACTAGCACTACCATGATGCCAAAAATAGACAAAGAACTACAAGAAAACTATACACCAATATCCCTGATAAATATTGACACAAAAATTCTCAATGAAATCTTGATAACATTAAAAGGATTATACAGGGCTGTGGTTGTAGCTCAGTGGGCTAGGGTTGTAGCGCAGTGGTTGAGTGCTTGGCTCACATGTGTGAGGCACTGGGTTCAATCCTAAGCACCACATAAAAAAATAAATAAATGAAACAGAGATATTGTGTCCATCTACAACTAAAAACATTTTTTTTTAAAAAAGGATTATACATTGGGGCCTGGAGTTGTGGCTCAGTGGTAAGAGCATTTGCCTAGCATGTGTGAGGCCCTGGGTTCGATTCTCAGCACCATGTATAAAAAATGAATAAATAAAGGTCCATCAACATCTGAAAAAATATTTTAAAAATAAATAAATAAATAAAAAGGATTATACACCATGACCAAGTGGAATTTATTCCTGTGTGCCAGGATGGTTTAACAATGCAAGAATCAATTACTACTCCACAGTAACAAAATGAAGGGGGGGGGTGATCTCCTTAATTGATGTAGACAAGGCATTTAACGCAATTCAATACTCTCTCATATTAAAACACACTCAACAGACTAGAAATACAAGGAAACTACCTTAACATAATGAAAACCAAATACTTTCTCTTTTCAATTCATTACATTTTTGGGGCACTGAGGATTGAGCCCAGGGGCACTGTACCACCAAGAACACCCCTGGGTTTACATTCCCATCCCTTTTTATTTTGATATAGGGTCTGGCTAAGTTGCCCAGGCTAGTCTTGAACTTGTGATCCTCCTGCCTCAGTCTTCCAAGTAGCTGGGATTCCGTGTGTCACTGTGCCCGGCTGCCCATATAATTTTGTAAAGCTCACAGCTAACAAAATATTCAATGGTGAAGATTATTCCAAGTCTTTCCTCTAAAATTAGAAACAAGAAAAGGATGTCCACTTCCTCCAATGCTACTGAATGTATTAAGGGAAGTATTAATCAGAGAAGTTAGCAAGGAAAATTAAAGTAATTCAAATAGGAAAAAAGAATTATCTCTGTTTGCAGGCAAAGTCTTATATATAGAAAACCCTAAAGATTCCGCAAAAATCCTCTTAGAGCTGAGTACAGTAATGCACACTTGTAATCCCAGCTACTCAGGAGTCTGAGGTTGGGAGGATCACAGGTTTGAGGCCAACCTGGGAAACCTAGCAAGACCGTGTCTCAAAATAAAAATAAATAAAAAGGGCTGAGAACATAGCTCAGTAGTAGGTAGTCCAACCCCCAGTACCACCAAAAAAAAAAAAAAAACTATCAGAAATAATAAGTTTAGCAAAGTTGCATGATGCAAAATCAAATCAATACACAAAATCGAGTTGTTTCTTTACATTTAATAATGAGCATTATTAAATATTTTTAAAATTTAAAAAAATATTTTTTAAAAAATTTCAATTACACTAACATCAAAAAGAATAAAATACTTTGTAATAAACTTAACCAAATAGCTAAAAGATATACACTGAAAACTACAAAGCACTGCTGAAAGAAATTAAAGACACAAATAAACAGAGAGACATCTCATGTTTATGGATTGGAAGACTTAATATCATTAAGATGTCAATACTAGTCAAAGTGATCTACAGATTTAATGCAATTCCTCCCCAAATCTCAACAATTTTTGCATAAACAAAAAATCCATCCTCAAATTTATATGAAATCTCAAGGGTCCCTGAAAAATCAAATCATTTTGAAAACAAAATGAAAATCTCATACCTCCTGACTTCAAAACTTACTAAGGGGCTGGGGTAGTGGCTCAGTGGTAGAATGCTCACCTAGCATGTGCAAGGCCCTGGTTTCGATCCTCAGCACCATATATAAATAAAGGTATTGGGTGCAACTACAACTAAAAAAATAAATAAATTTAAAAAAAAAAACTTTCTATAAAGTTACAACAATGAAAACAGTGTAGTTCTAACATAAGTATAGACATACAAACTATGTGTCTTTATATAGTTTATATATAGACTATATTCTGTGGATTCAGATCAACAGTGGAACCAGAAACAAACCCCCATATACATGGTCAAATGATTTTCAACAAGAGTGCCAGATCAGTCAGGCACGGAACACCAGCAGCTCGGGAGGCTGAGGCAGGAGGATCACAAGTTCAAACAGCCTCAGCAAAAAGCGAGGCACTAAGCAATTCAGTGAGACCCTGTCTCTAAATAAAATACAAGAAAGGGCTGGGGATGTGGCTCACAATGGTTGGTAAGCGCCTCTGAGTTCAATCCCTGGTACCCTCGTGCCAAAAAAAAAAAAAAGAATGCCAAGATCATTCAAAGGAGAAAGGAAATTTTTTCAGCTCAGAAAACTGGATATCCATAAGAAAAAAGAAGGACTCTTACAAAAATAAGATATTCAGGAGGCTAAAGCAGGAGAATCCCAAGTTTGAGGCCTGTGTAAACAACTGAGCCAAACCCTCAGATTTTAAAAATTATATGTATAAAAAAAAGCAGAGGCTGGTAATATAACTCAATGGTAGAGCAACTTATCTAGCAAGCACAAGGACCTGGGTTCAGTCCCCAGGGCTGAGGGAAAGAACTAATCCCACAGAATGAGAGAAAATATTTGCAAATCATTATCTGATAAGGGAGACAGGGAAGGGCAAGAGGCAGAAAGAGGAACGTAAGTACACAGAGTAGGGGAACCAGATATTACTGCATGTATGAAGTTGACAAACTGGGAAAAATTTTCATCTTATTTTTTGAAGTTAAACATCACAAGTAAAACTAAAATGAAGTTTTATATATATATATATGTATTTCAAATTATCTTTGAGAAAAATTATAAAGAAATCATACAGCATAGAGAACAAAGGAATGGAAAGAAACATACAAGCAAAAAATATAAAAATAGACACATAAAAGACTGGAAATTTCTGTTTAAAAAAATAAAACCTAGATGGGATGAAAATTATTATTAAAAGACATACAAGGACTAGACTTAAAAACAAAATTTGGACTGGAGTGTGGCTCAGTGGTACAGCACTTGCCTGGCAAGTGTGAGGCCCTGGGTTTGATCCTCAGCACCACATAGATACATAATATAAAAGATCCATTGACAACTAAAAAATATATATATTAGAAAAAAAAAGTAAAATCCAACTATGTGTCATTTGTAATAGACCACTCTAAAATAAAACATCTCAGAAAGTCTGAAGATTATAAACAAAGCAAAGACATACTAAAGCAAATAGAAACAAAAAGAAAACAGAACTCATAATATTTAATACCCAAGTTGAACTGAGATAGAAATCATTCAATGGGGCCATGGCAAAATTTAATAAAAATGCTATTTAAATACTAATAGAGCAAGAAGGAAAAAAATGAAGGTTTTCCAAGGTGGCTTCCAAGAAGCCAACACAATCATGATACCACAACCCAGCAAGGATATTCACTTATGGTATCTCAATTAAAAAAAATCTAAATAAGATTAACAAATACCTAGCAGTACATTTATACACATACACACACAGAGTAAACACGCAAGGTTTGTTCTTAAAATGCAAGAATGAAGTCATACTCGAAATGTTATTTATGATTTATCAGTTAGTAGGTGAGTGGAAATAAAAATAACAAATTAATCCTGATAGATGCTGAAAAGGCACTTAATAAGTTTGGTAATGATTTTTATTTTTTAAAAATTATCTAAGTGCTCACTTGATAGTATAATAAATAAATAGATCTTACCTAACACAACAGTGCCTTGTTGCTGCCTCTGGAGTTACTGCATAACCCAGGAACTACAGAGAAAGATTCTCAGCGGAAACAGAGGCACACAGTTCTCCAGAGCTGAAGTGAAGGGACAGCAATTTGATAAGGCTTCACTACCCAGAAGGGGGCCAGACCTTCCAGGCCGTACCTCTGGAGCCAAGAGTGGGGAGAAACTGCCTTCTAGGGGAGCAGTGTGACCACGGGCACAGGAGGCTAAGCTCACTCGTCCACACTGCTTATCAACTATCCAGAGGGCCCTTCTCCAAGAGTTTTGTCCCAACTGGCCCTGGACATTCCTGGTTTATGTTGTCCCAGATTAATTAGGAAAGCTCTCCCTTCAGTCATAAAAAAGTGTTCATCTGCAGCAACACAGATGACCATGGAAGGCATCGTGTTAAGTGAAATACGCCAGGCAACGAAATACAAACAACGTATGACGACTTCTGTGTGTGGAATCTATGAAAGCTGAACTTAGTGAAGGACAGCGGAATGGTAGCTGCCGGGGCAGGAGGTGGGGGAAATAGAGGATGTTGGTCAAAGGGTACACACTGTCAACAGATGAGTCAGTTCTGGGGATCTAATACACAGCATGGTGAATATACAGCTACTAACAATGTGCTGTGAAATTGAAATTTGCTAATAGTAAATCTTAAGTGTTCTCAGCACAGTAAGAAAAAGTAGTAACTATGTGTAGCAGTTTAGACATGGTGTCCCCCAAAAGCTCATGTGACATAATACAAGGTTTGGAGGAGAAATGATTGGGTTATATCTTTAACCTAATCCCTGATAGGGATTAACTGAGTGGCAACTGAAGTGGTGGGTGTGGCTGGGAGGAGGTGGGGCAGTGGGGGCCTGGCTTTGGGGTACCTATTTTTCTCTGGCAAGTGGTCTCTCTCTCTGCTTCCTGATCATCATGTGAGCTGCTTCCCTCTACCATACTTTTCTGCCATGGTGTTCCACCTGACCTCAAGCTTCGAGGAATGGAGCCGCCATCTATAGACTAAGACTTCTAAAACTGTGAACCTTCAAATCAACTTTTCTTCCTCTACAACTGTTCTGATTGGGTCTTTTAGTCACAGCAGTGAAAAAGCTGACTAAAACACTATGTGAGGTGATGGATACACTACCTAGGTATCAAATCCTCATATTGCACATCTAAATATACACAATTCTACCAGAGAACTCAACTGCTGAAAAATAACATAACATCACAGTATTCTTGATAAGGGTCAAAACTTATTCCAATGTCACATTTAAAATGTGTACATTTCTCTAAATATAAACTTTATCCAATAATTATAATCTAATTTTGAACTGTACTTATTGATATGAATACTGAAGTATTTAGGACTGAAGTGTACTAATGTTTGCAACTTTGAAATAGCATTAGAAAGACTAAGATGGGTTGATGGATGGTAGGTAAACACGTGATAAAGCAAACTGCAGCATAATGCTAATGCTGGAATCCAGAGAGTATGTTCAGGACATTTGTTTCAACTTTTCTGTATGTTTGAAAATTTCACATAAGATGTTCAAAACACATAAGCATCATAAGTTATAATTTAGTTCCATTTTTTCCCTTTGTAGTACTGGTTATTGAACCCAGGGTTTTACACATACTACCCAAGAGCTATACAACTGAGCTATACCCCTCACCCTTTTTTAAATTTTTTTTAGTACTGAGAACTTAACCCAGGGGTGCTTTACCACTGAGCTATATCCTCGGCCCTTTTAATTTTTTTTCATTTGAGATAGGGTCTCACTAAGTTGCTGAGGCTGGCCTCAAACTTGTGATCCCCCTGCCTCAGCCTCTTGAGACATGTGCCATGGTGCGTAGCTACTTCCAGTCTTATAATATGATCAACATCAAGACATTTTCAAGACTGAAGACTCAGAAAGTCTTACCTTTATAAAGAAATGTGCAGACACAAGAAAGAGCCATACTCACCTACAGACTGAGAAGTGAATGCTGCTACAATCTGAGGACTGGCCAGGGCCTCCAGTCTGTTCTTCAAGGCCTCTAAGTGCACACATTTTTCTGAGTAGTCTGGTGTATCCACAAGCATTGTCAAGCTGTTCTGCATGCCAGTTAGCTTGGCAGAAATCACAGTGATATCCTGTAAAAAAATGAGAATAGAGGGTATTTATTTTAAAAGACTCCAGCTACCTCAATTGGGATTGAATAAAATACAGGAAAAGGCAACTCTTAATATAAAAAAAATGGCCAATAAACATTATATTCAACATTACTGGTACTCAAATAACTGCAAATTAAAACAAGAATGTGCCATTTTCCTCTAAAAAACTGGGAAAGTTTTTAAAAAATTATGATAGCTATTGTTTGGCGAAGATGCAAAAAAAAAAAGACACTCTGGTGTCATACATGTCTGCTGACTTACTCCAACAGCAACATGACAAGAGTCTTAAAAATACTCACATCATTTAACTTGGTATTTTCTCTTCCAGAAATGATTATTTCTTTAAAGGATATAGAGATATTACTGTATTATAATTAATGTGATTGTAGTGTTAAAATAACAAAGCCTAGAAGCAACATAAATCTTCTATTATAACAAATAAAATATAAATTATGGGTCACTCATAATGGTATATGGAATACTGTACAGCCACCCAAAATTATGTTTTTGAAATGTACTAAATAAAGGTATTGTGTAAAACTACAACTAAAAAATAAATATTAAAAAAAATTTACAACTTACTATTAAATGAAATAAACACTATAAAAAAGTATATAGACACGAGTCCCAATTTTGTTTCATATACATCAATGTAATATATGTAATACATACATATATATTAGTTATACACAGGTATAACTGAATGTACACAGTCATTACATCTGTATACATACAAAAATACATACCTAAGTAAAAAAGTGTACAAACATGTATAAAAAATACCTAATAGGGGCTGGAGCTGGAGCTCAGTGGTAGAGTGCTTGCATAGTATGGGTGAGGCACTGGGTTTGATCTTCAAACCACATAAAATAAATAAATAAAGTTATAAAAATTATTTTTAAAAAAATCCTTTACAGACTTAAAAAGTATATTTCTGGGGTCTAGAAATACGGAACATTTTCTTTCCTTCCTTGTGTACTGAATTCCTCAAATCTTGTAAGATACACATAAATGAGTTTTTTAATTAGAAAAATAATTAATTAAGAAAGTACTACTTGATAGTATTCCAGCATTCAATGAGCTGTGATGTATCAGACACTGTATCAGACATCTGAGACTCCCAGATGAGTAAGGTCGCATTACAAAGATGTGCTCACAACTCAGTGGGATAGAAAGATTCTGATGCAACTTCAGAACAATGGCTCACATGTTACAGGAGCAATCAGTTTTGCCTTGGAGAGTCAAGGAGCCGTCGTAGGGCAGAGCTGTGAAGGGTGGTGCTCTGACTGGACCTAGAGGGACGAGTGGAGGTCCACTCTGATGCAAAGAAAAGCAGAAGGACAGTTCAGGCAGAGAATTGAAGAGCGGAAGGAGATGGCACGTTGGTCTGGAACAGTCACGTGGTGGACAGACATGGGGGGGCAGCCAGGGAAACGCTGAAAGGCAGGCCACAACCTGTCCTGAAATAGGCTGCCCTATTAGGGGCTCAAAATCTATCCAGAAGAGAATGGGAAATCACTTAAAGTTAAAATGCGAGGGGAGGGAGACAAGGAAATGGCAGGTGCCAATTTATGCTTTAGGATATCCCCGTGGTCGCATGTGGAAGATAAATTAGTGTGGCAAAGAGACCAATGGTCAGCTGTCATAATGGTCCAGGAACAAATGATTAAAAGCATGACTAGAATCCTAGCAGAGAGAAAAAGAACAGATATAACTGAATAGGAAAGAAGGAGCAGTTAAGGCTTCTGGCGTTTCTAGGCTAAATGCTTAGATGGAAAATGGCCCTATTAACCAGGATGGGGGAACACAAGAAAGAGTGATGGTTTATGGCTTTGGAGAGAAATAAACAATTCAGCCGGGCATGGTGTCGCACCCCTGTAATCCCAACTACTCAGGGGGCTAAGGCAGGAAGATCTTAAGTTCAAGGTCAGCCTGGTAACTTAAAAAGATTATGTCTCAAAATAAAAAATAAAAAGGGCTGGAGATGTAGCTCCGTAGTAGAGCACTGGCCTAGCATGCATAGGCCCTGGGGTCTATGCCTAATTCTGAAAAAAATAAAAATAAAAACAGAATTCAGTTTTTGAAATGCCAAATGCTAAGGAGAGTCCAGCTGGATACTGCTGGTCTTGTGAGCAGTTAGTTTCAAGTATCAGGAGAGTAAAGGGCAGAAAAACAAGATGTATTTAAACGACTAATTGACATTAGTAGTTAAAATAGTAAACCACTAATGTCAATTATTACAAGCAGAAACCTTATTTATTTATTTATTGTAGTCCTTGGGGACTGAGCCCCATGCTCGTTAGGCAAGCACTCTACCACTCAGCACATTTCCAGGCCTTCTTTTTCCTTTTGAGACAGGGTCTAAGTTGTCCAGCTGGTCCCACACTTGCCATAAACCAGTGTCAGCCTCCAAGTAGCTGAACTGCAGCTGTGCACACCACCCCTGGCGGGGACATGTTGGTTGAGACTTCTCCTCCACTCACTCTCCATGACCAAGAGGCTTCATCAGGCAAGGTGTGCAGAGTGTGCGGGGGAGGACTGAGAGCAGTTTCAGATTTTCCCTACAGGACGTCTGAACATTTCTGTCTGCCGCGAATGACATCCCTGGAGGTTGGGGATATTCTGATGAGAGGCTATCGCATTTGCTTTCCCCAAATCTCAAGCTCTCGCCTAAATGAATTTCCAACACCCCTAAATAAGATGCCTACTTGAGTCTTAAATGTCTCCTCAATATCGGCGCTCAGCGTGCTCCACTTGTCCGCTTCTTGAAGAGATTCAGCAGCAAGCTGCATCCTGGACTTCACCTGGTCGATTTCCACCAATACCTGAAAGGAAATGAAGCAAAAATGAAGCAGAGTTCCTTTTCCTCTACCTTCCCCCAGTGACCTGAAGCATGAGTCTCGTGGCATGCTCCTTCTTCGGGTAGTTTCTGTACCCCAAAGCACCAATCACCTAGTCAATTTTACTCAGCATGCTGAAGAGATACGTAAGTGGAAAGGACGAAGCTGGAAGGTGACTAAAATGATGGCTAGAATTCTGAGTTCAGGCTGGCCTTTGGCAATGCTGTGCTGTCCACCATCCCCTGTGAGAGTGAACACCTTCCAAAAACCAGAATCCCCACATAGGGCAGGAGCCGAAATACCTGCATCGACTGCGATGTGTCCTGTTCAAATTTTTTAATGTCTTCCTTGACAAGAATCATTTGTTCTTTTAGAAAAGATGCCTCCTGTTTAAGAGCTTCAACATCACGGAGCACTTTGGGCATGTTCTGAAGGGCCTGGTGACTTGTTTCTGTAGCACAAATCAAGAACAGCAACATGCACAAAAGGTAAAAATTGGAGCAGTCACCAGTGATAACTTTGAAATATGAGAGACAACAGAGAGAAAACTGCCGGAAGCAGTACAAATCACAGAGCTTTTAGAGCCTGCGCCAAGTGTCAAGCAGGAGACAGGATGGGAGGGGAGGAGGCCTTAGTAAGGTCCATGTCCTCCTCCTCCTCAGTGTCCTAAGTATCTTGGATTACAGGCATGTGCCACCACGCCCAGTAACTTTTGGCAATTCTTAAGATAAGTAACACTTTCCTAGGTACCATGGCTGCCATATTGCAGACCCTGAAAACAAAGTGAGTCACATACTGAATCCAGGTATTTTATAAGTTTGAGGGATTATGAAGGTCAAGGGTGACCCTAGTTGACGAGCGGAGTCCACGGCAACCAGGTTGCAGCAGATAAATAGTGGGGAGTCTCTAGTTAATCCAGTGGTTCTCAAACCTGAACCTGTTTCAGAATTACCCAGTTTCTCTCTCAGTAGGTGTGGGGTAGACCCAAGATCTGCATTTCTAATCCTTCTTCAAACAACAATGCTGGCCCCAGGACCACACATAAGAACCACTAGCCTGCTCCTTCTGCTCCCCTCATCAGACTCAGAAGGCAAATTGTACCTCTAGAACTATGGCACCAGAGTCTAGGTGGCCACTCTGTGGTCTACACAGGGACATGCCAGAGACATGACTGGTTTCTTCAGGCAGTCCTTTCAAAAATGATGTCATCCATGACCAGGTGATGGTGCTTTACCACTTAAACAATTTTATGAAATAGTCAAAAGTATGATGAGAAAGTAGCAATGCTGATTCATGGTCATTCCAAAATGCAGTCCACCGAGCACCAGTGTCAAAGGATATGGTTAAAATGCAGGTCCCGGGGCCATGGGCCAGAGACTTTTATTTAGTAGGTTTGGTTTGAGATCAAGGAACCTGTGTTTTATAATGAATATTCCAAGTATAGAATACAATTTGAAAATCTTTGCAGAACCTGATGTGTAATCTGGATTGGGAGGTCACCAGCAGAACCCTTTAGCCCTTGAAGAGCAATTCACTGGGGAATCAAGCAAAGGAGTCCACAGTCTCCTGCTCCACCCTTGCACTGAATGGAACCTTAATATCCTGATGACGTGCTGTAGAAACCTGCTCATTCAATTCTGTCACAAAATAGCAATACTGACCCAAGTACGGGTCTAAGGCTGAGGGACCAGGGTCAGAACCTGTGAAGGTTTCTTCAACTGACTCAACAGGGCTGACATGGCCCCAGCCACGTCTCCCACTGGCTAAACCTCAGTCACTCTTCAGGTCCTGCTGATCCCCTGTGAACCTCTTTTTCCCTCTCCTTAGCATCCCCAAATTTAGCTGATTCCTATATCTATCATAAAAATTATTTCTGACAGATGGTAGCATACACCTGTTATCCCAGACACTTGGGAGGCTGAGGCAGGAAGAATGCAAGTTTGAGGCCAGCCTCAACAACTTGAAGCCCTAAGCAAATTAGTGAGACTGTCTCAAAGCAAAATAAAAAAGGTCTGGGGATGTGGCTCAGTGGTTAAGTGTCCCTGGGTTCAATTCCTCGTACCAAAAACAAAAACAACAACAAAGAAAAAAAACTCTGTCTTTGGGGGAAGTGCTGGGGAGCGATATTGGGCAAATCATATTCTTATATGTGTGCATGTACAAATGTAAAACAAATCCCATCATTATGTACAACTATAACGTACCAATAAAATATGTGGAAAGAGGAAAAAAACCTAACTCTTCCAGTGGTTGCCTCCCTCTTGAAGGGTCAGGGCATTTTCTGGAGTGTCAGCAACATTCTATGTTTTGGGGTGAGTCTAAGTTATAGTAGTTGAATACACTTGCCCAAACTTGGCAAACTCGTCAGATAAGACCCATGCATCTCACCTATGTAAACTTCAGCTAAAAGAAAACGGTAAATAAATATTGAACTCTACTGTGTCGGGTTCTAACTGAAACTTCAAGAAATGAAACATACCAATATACATACTTACAACTTGTGATTTTGAAATACACCAAAAAAATTAGATGGATCAATGAATAGAGGGAATGGATCAATGGACAGATTCGTGGTAAAGCAAGAACAGTAAAATGTTAATTGCATAATCTAGACAGTGAGTTTATGGATGTCCACTTCACCATGGCTTAGTTCAAGAATCTGCTATAATCCTTCATTTTCTCTCCCTCTTATCCCTCATTCCAGAATCCATCAGCAAATTCTCCCCTTTCTTGCTCCTAATATTATCCTGAAGTTCCTACCTCTCAATATGTTCACTGAATTACCCCCAATCATCTCTTTTTCACAATCATGAACATTCAGTGGAAGGACCCAGCAATGTTTTTGTTTGTAGTTTGGTACCAGATTGAACCCAGAGGTGCTTAACCACTGATCCACATACCCAGGTTTTTTAATTTTTAATTTTTTTTTTAATTTTGAGTCAGGGTCTCAATAATTTGCTTATTGCCTTGCTAAATGACTGAACCTGGCTTTGAATTTGCAATCCCTCTGCCTCAGCCTCCCAAGCCACTGGAATTACAGGTGTGTGCCACCATGCCCTGTTCAGGGGTTCTTTATCACAGAGCTGCCTCCCCACAATTAAAAAGGCTCTCATAAATTTCCAAATATTCCCAAAGATGAGGGCAAAGTGGAAGAAAAGGTTTTGTATCCACTTTCCCACTTCCTTAACACATATAAAGCACTTAGAATGTCATGTGATATACCAAGTCCTCAAGTGTCTGCTATTATACTATTATTCATGTCCTCCCTTTGTCCTAGGAAGTTCTCATTCAAGGACTACTGCAGGGAAAGCCCTTTATGATACTCCCAGACAAGAGATAACTGCACTTTTCTGGCCAGCTCTCAGGGCTCCAGGTTCTAGTCTCCTTAAAGCCACCCTTCATTAAAATTTAACTATTTACATACTTTCCCCACAGGCAGCAAGCTGCAGAGAGTTAACTTTTTCCTCCCCAGGGCCCATTTCTTGATACAAGACAGGAGATGCTCCCTAATTACTAAAAAAAAAAAAAAAAAAAGCAAAGTACAATAAAGAATCTGCACTGAAAGAAAACCTCTAGTTCCTTTCCTTAAACAATGAGCTTATCTATAAAACAAAGTTCTATTTACTATTCGGTTTCAGCGGAAGCAATGTGTTTGCTTTTTCCAACAAAGCCTAGCAGAGGGCTGGTGTGCAGAATGTACTGAATCAACATAGAGCAAAATAAAGTCAAACAGAGGAAGTATTTGACGTGGCTACTGATGGATATTATTTTTTATAACTAACTATCCCTTAAAAAATGGCTGAAGTTTCCATTCTGGCCAGCCTATCTTCTCCCATTAACATAAAGATCCATTAAAATATTATTTCATCCCGGCGACTCAGGAGGCTGAGGCAGGAGGATCTTGAGTTCAAAGCCAGCCTCAGCATATTAGCGAGACCCTAAGCAACTCAGTGAGACCCTGTCTCTAAATAAAACACACACAAAAAAGGGCTGGGGGTGTGGTTCAGTGGTTAGGCGCCCTTGGGTTCAATACCGGGTACCCCCAGCACCCCCCTAAAAAAAAAAAAGAAAGAAAACTAATGTGCAAAATTTGCAAGTGTTAAAGACAGTGCAGCAGCAGGCTGAGGCTTCCTCCTGGATGCAGTCGGGTCTGCAGGGCTATTTACTGCCCAATCCGGGCACGGCCAGGGCACCCCGCCCAGCTCTGCCAGCCGGGCTCAGGGGAGGGGCTGGGGGGCCGGGCCCCCGCGCGACTCACCCTCCACGGCGTGGTTCACCTCCTGGATGAACAGCTGCAGCTTCATCACCAGGGTGGCTGCGTGGCCGTCCGCCTTCCCGGCGGCCGAGTCTTTCGGGCCAGCCCTGAAGGCCGCGTTGATCCACTCTTTCACGTCGAAGTCGTCGGCCAGGAACTTGGAGAAGTCCATGGCGACACGGCCTCAGGCCTGGCGTCCAGGCCCGAAGAGTAGGCTCCGGGCGGCCACGGGGACGCTGAAGCGGGTGACACGGCGAGAACACCGAAGCTGGCCTCTATAGCGCCCGCAACTCGCCAGGGTGCAGCCCCTCAGTCAACCGGCTGGGGCTGCGACGGGAATGAGCCTCACCGCGCGCCGTACTCCTTCCGGAAGTGGGCGGCCGTTACCATAGCGACTGCCGGCGCTTGGTAGGCGATCCCGGAAGCGCGAGCTCCTGGCAAGTAGGGTCGTCCCCGTTCGGGCTAATAATGTGCACAGTCTTTGAGTACTACTGGTCTCCCCAACGTCTAGATGAAGAACAGAGGCAGTTAAGTAAGACTCGGGCCAGCTGGCCCTGGCGCCTAGTGTTCTACTGCTCTCCCAGGGGGAGCAGGGGAAGCCCGCGTGATCTGGCCTCTGCCCACCACTCTTCCTGCGGGTCTCACGTAGCCTCCTTTGTTGGCCTCCTTTCCCGAAACACTACCTTGAAAACCACCGGTTCTTGCTCAAAACAAACAAACAACGCGACACCTAGGAAATGAGAGACTATGTGGGAGGCTTCCTATGTCATAGGAACCCCAACTTTATTCAACTACTTGAGAGCCTCCTGCCTCAGCCTCCCAAGTAACAGGGATTACAGGTGTGCCACCGCGCCCAGCTAAGTCACTAGAATTTGACAAAGATGAAAAGGCCATCAGTGGAGGATTTCCAACAAATGATCCTGAGATAACTGTATATTGGAATGTAAAAATTTTTGCTATTCCTTCAATCAGCTGGTATTTTGGGCCTTTTGAAAATTTGCCCATTTCATTTAATTGTATAATTTGGGGCATAAGATTGTTCATAATACTACCTTATAATCCATTTTAATTTCTTTAATTTTATCACTTGTTTCCCCCCCCTTGGTCAATTTGGCTGATATTTGTCAGTTTCATTACTCTTTTCAAAGAACCAACTTTTCCTTTATTGCAACCTTTTCTGTTTTTTGTTTTCTACCATTGATTTCTGCACTCATCAGTTTCCTTTCTTCTGTTTTCTATTAATTTAGTTTGCTCTTCTTTGTCTAATATATTAAACTGGAATTTTAGGCTACTGATCTGAAACCTTTCTTCATTTTTTTTCTTTTTTTTGGGGGGGGGGTGCGGTGGGGTTGGGTACTGGAGATTGAACCCCGGCTGTTTAAACACTAAGCCACATCCCCAGCCCTCTTTATTTTGTATTTACAGATAGGATCTCATTAAGTTGCTCACTAAGTGGCTGAGCCTAGCTTTGAACTCGTGATTCTCCTGCTTCAACCTCCTTAGCCTCTGGGATTACAGGCATGGGCCACCATGCACAGCACCTTTCTTCTTTTCTAATATCTTTAAATTACTGGTGTAAAAGAAAAAAAGCACTGGTTTAGCTACATCCCATAAATTCTGATGTTTTCATTTTCATTTGATTCAACGTATTTTCTTTTCATATTCACAGTATGACTTCTTTAATCCATGGGTTAAATGTGTTATTTCATTTCCAAATAGTTGAATATTTCTCAGATTTTTTCCCTATTGTTGGTTTCTAGTTTAATTCCATGTGATCAAAAACATTCCTGGTGTGATTGAAGCTCTTTTAATTGTGTGAAGACTTGTTATGACCTAATATTGGCCTATTCCATGCAATGTTGTGTGTACTTGAAAAGAATATGAATCCACAGTCACTGGATGGAGTAGTAAAGTTGATTACCAGTTTGGTTGAAATGTTTTAAATCCTTATAGTTGTTCTATCAAGTACTGAAATCTCCAACACTTGTCGAATTTATTAGCCTAATATTATTCAATGGACCTTTGTCTCTCATAGAGTTTTTATTTTTTTTCTCCTGGTGGTGGTGGTGCTGGGGATTGAACCCAGGACCTTGTGCATGCAAGGCAAGCACTCTACCAAGTGAGCTATACCCCCAGCCCTCTCAGAATATTCTTATCTTAAAGTCTATTTTGTCGGATATTAATGTACCCATTTCAGCTTTCTTAAGGCTACTGTTTGCATGGCTAATCTTTTATATTCTTTTACTTTCAACCACATTGTGACCTTAGAGGGTCTTTCATAAACAGCATATAGTTGGACTTAGTTTTGCTTTTCTTAATATGGGCTGACAGCTTCTGCCTTTAGATGGGGATGCTTAGATCATTCAAATTTAATGTAACTATTTTGAAATAATTAGGTTCGCATTTGCCATTTTCTTCTTAAATCCTTTCTATTCCATTTTTATTTCTTTGTCTCTTTTTTGGACCCTCTGTTCCTCCTTTAGTCTTAAATGAACATTTTTTTCAGCGCTAGGGATCAAACCTAAGGTCTGATGCATGGTAGGCAGGCACTCTATCACTGAATCACACCTCCAGCCCCCAAATGAGCATTTTAAAATATACTATTTTGACTCTTCTGATTTATTTACTATATAATTTAATCATTTTGTTATTAATTGTTCTAAGGATTATAATATACAGTTTCTTTTTTTGGTAGCGAGAATTGAACTCAGCGGCACTTGTAACATACCCAGCCCTTTTTATATTGTATTTAGACAGGATCTTGCTAAATTGCTTAGGCCTTGCTAAGTTGCTGAAGCTGGCTTTGTACTTGCAATCCCCCTGCCTCAGCCTCTAGGATTAGAGGTGTGTGCCTCCACGTCTGGCTGATTGGGTCATTCCTTTTTTTTAATATTTATTTTTTAATTGTAGTTGGACACAATACCTTTATTTTATTTTTTTATCTTTATATGGTGCTGAGGATCAAACCCAGGGCCTCACACATGCCAGGTGAGCCCTCTACCGCTGAGCCACAACCCCAGCCCCTGATTGGGTCATTCTTATTGATCTGTTTTCAAGTTCATTGTTTCCTCTGTCATCTCAAATCTGTTGAGTGATGGTGAAGTTTTCATTTCAAATTACTATACTTTTCAACTCCAGGATTTTTAGTTATTTTATGCTATCTTGGTATTGAAAATAACTATTATTTGTTGTCATATTTTCTTTTTTTAAATATAGTTTTCTTTTTTATCCCTGCTGCTGGAGATTGAACCCTTGAACCCAGGGCCTTGTACCACTGAATCAAAACTGAGCAGTAAACATGATTTTCTGTTTTCCTTTGGGGGAAAAAATTTATAGATATGAATGAAATAGCTGCTGTGAAGACCATCTGCCAAGTCCATCCTCTGGAGACATTCAGAGAGAGTTTCCATTTACTGCTCTTTCTCCCTCAGTATGAGTCATCTTTCCTGTTTCTTTATGTTATGTTTTGATTGAAAACTGAACGTTGCAGTTGCTATACTGTACTACTAGAACAGATTCTGAACTTCTGGAGGTCATCGCTCTCCTTGCTCAGTAGCTTGCCTGAACTGACTTTGTGAACTATCTCCCTTATGGTATGTGGTCACTGATGTCTCTGCTCAGATTTTTTATTCTATTTTTAATTTGTTTTCTAAATCTAGCATCCTACCTCCACAAAGCTTAGTGGCAGTTAACGATCAAACTAAAATTGTGCTTCCGTTTTGAAACAGTAAGTGTGCAGGGCCGGGAGCACATTCAAAGTTCAGGCCATGTTCAGGTGTGGCCCGGCATGTCCTGGCCACTCTGCCCTTCTGTGCTTGTTCAGTGTCTGACTGTGGGTTCCGTGTCAGCCAGGATCGTGTGGCTAGCCTGGGCTCTCTGGCCACTTATGAAGCCGTACCCCACCTCAGCAAGGAATACATACACTCTCTCTACTGATGACCACGACCTCAAACTCGCCCTCCCCACTTGCACACCTCAGCCGCTGCCCCTAACGTCAGGAAAAAAGAAGCCGCCAGACCCTCTGAGTTGGGGGGAGGGGAAGGGGAGGAGCACCCCCAGGAAAGAGTGACACAGACTGCAGATGTCCATGTCCAAACTTCAGCAGTTTTTCCGCAAGCGTGAGGGCTTCTCACATTGTCAACTCCCTTTGCTTGGTTTCCACCACTGACATGATCACCCCAAATCTCCAGGCTCATAGCTGCTTTTTGGAAAGGGGGTTTTTCATTCTCTTTACTTGACCACATTCAAAAGTTCTTCCCCTAAGTCCGTCCTTTTTGAGACATGCAAGAGTGAGTTGACCTTTGCTACATGGCCCTAAGCCATGTCCAGGTCCCCCAGATCAGCTTAACACGGGGAAGTTCCACTTCTTACCAAATGCGCCCAGGAGGCCCTCTCTGATGGACATGTGAAACGTAGCTGGGGTAGAAGAAGTGGGCATCGGAAGGTGTGGGATGCTGAACCACCGATCCTGACTTTGCTTGATATTCTCCTGTGATCCCGTGAATAGGAAGGAATGCCAGCATGTCACAGCATGAGACAGACCAGTCACCAGCACCATCGCACGTATAATTCCCGTCTACCAGTTGTGTCTGATGAGCAGAGCGTAGGAACTCAACAGAAGAAACACCTGAAAATGTTAACAGGACCTGAGGCGGATGCTCAGGGAGCAGAATTAGGTCGCAGCTGCATGTCTAGGCCCTTGGGACAAGCCCCATCACTAGCAGGAGAGACATGCTGTCCTCTTCAGAGCACCCCCTCCAGCCCTGCAGGGTCGGGGAAGAGTGCAGATTAGCCAGAGCTCAGGATCTGTCCATCCAGGTCAATGAACAGAGCATGAAAGATTCCTCACGTGTTTTTACAAACTTTCACAGCTTAAAGCTTACTTTTCCTTACCCATCTTTTTAATCCTCACAACCTTTCAAGGTGTTAGTCTTTCTTTTCTGCAGAACTAGGGGCTGAACCCAGAGGCACGTTATAGCTCTTTTCATTTGTATGTATTTATTTTTGGTACCAGGGATTGAACTCAGGGGCACTTAACTATTGAGTCCCATCCCCAGCCCTTTTTTGTATGTCAGTTAGAGACAGGGTCTCACAGAGTTGCTAAGGGGCTGAGGCTGGCTTTGAACTCGTGATCATCCTACCTCAGCTGTCCCAGCCACTGGGATCACAGGCCTGCGCCACCCGCCTGGCTTCATTTATAATTCTGAGACAGGTTCTCAATAAGTTGCCCTGGCTGGTCTCAAATTTCTGATCCTCCTGCTTCAGCCTCCCAGGTAACTCAAATTCTAGATACGTGCCACGGCATCCAGCATTTTTTCTGTTTCAGAAAGAAGAAATGGAAGCTCAGGTGTGGCTAAG